AACTCCTAAATCAAGGCCACAAGGATCAGGTTCATTACAAGCATTCCATAAAAATATGGTGAAAGGTGCATTTTAAATTTAGTGTAAAGTAAATTGAATAAAAAACAATAAAGATGGAAGAAAAGGTATATTACAAATACATCTGATATTTGGAATGACTACAAGCAGCCAACTTGTTGGAAATTATTAGGTGCAGACTATACTAGTCTGCAAGTAATTTTCATCCCAGGTCTTAAGAAAACATACAGTACTATGAAAAGATAAAGGTTTCCCACCTCATACTAATACATCTAAATATCTTTTCCCCCATATTGTATGCCTTGCTAATATAATTACCTAATCTTTATTGATATACGAAAAATTACATTTGATTTTGTGCACTTCCCTTCTATACAGTGAACTTTGTTAACATTCACTAATTATGACAGTTCATTTGTAGTAACTTTTGGATTTTCTACATGCAAGACATGTCACTGATATTTTTATCATTTTTTTGATCCCTACAAATTTTGTTTGCTTTCCCCCCGTTTCCCTGGCTAGGACACAATATTAAATAGAAATGGTCATAGGAGGCATTATCTTCTCATGCCCAACATTGCCAGGAAAGCTTTAATATTTCCTGTTTAAATATAAAATTGGCTGTAAGGGTTTTAAAATCAGTATTATATCTTGAATATCACATGGAATTTGTGGTGATTATTTTTCTGATTCTAAGTAAATATTCACTTTTAGCCTCATTTTAGAGTCACGATTTTGAAACTGTTTCCTTATATAAGCCCTTCTCTCAAGTTAGGCTCAAAACTCCACACAGCGAGCCCAGCACTGCCAGTGCAGCATCAGGTGGCCTGGGACTAAGCTCCACCCTCCTCCAGGAGCTGAAGGAGGGGTGTCATTCAGCCCTATGCTGAATGCTGTCTTTCAGCCCTATGCTTCTTGACTCTTGGTTGCAAGATGCTCCTTGCCATTTTTCAAGGCTGGATACCCACAGTTCGGGTAGGAAGAAGTTAAAGGGCAAAATACCTTCATGGAAAGCTTTCTTTCTATTTTAGAAAGAAATCCCTTCCCAATTATCAAGCCTCCGCCAATATCTCATTGATCAAAACTGTAATCCCTGTAACGTAGCCAACAGCAAAGGAGATCTTACATTTGCTTCTACTATTCTGTTCCTCAGGATGAGATATTTTTCTTTTATTTCATCAATCCAGAGTCCTCATTTCCCACCAAGCCCTGAATGAGAAGCTTAGGCAAAAAATTCTGATGACTTAGTGAGTCACCATATATCCACAGTGTTTATAGTTACCTTGTACCATTATTTGTTGTTCTGTTTTCTGTGTCTATTCATTCACTGGAACAAAATGACACCAACTCAAATTCTACTTGAATTCTACAGCCTACAACTTAGTTACTAGCTGCCTCACACCAACACACATATTCTCTAGAAATAAGTACAGAAATGAAAAAGTAATTGTGCAATAAACACCATTGGGGAGTGTCAACAACTCATAATTGGAGGACTCAGTTTCATCCCTTTTGGTAAAATGCATTTTCTTTTTATTATTTTTGCTGATGTGTTATTTTTATGAAATATTATTTTAATCATGTTTTATATACACAGGAAAAACCAGAGTACAAAATGAACTAAAATGAAAGATAAATATAACATTCTTTTTTCCTTCTCATGATAATCCAGTATCACAGACGCAAACACTTTTTGTTCTACTATTTTATTTCTTTCAATTTCAGTTTACATTCAATATTATTTTGTACTAGTTTCAGGTATACAGTTAGACAATCATATACTTTACAAAGTGTCATCCCCGATATTTCCAGTACCCTCCTGGCACCATGCATAGTTATTACAATATTATTGACTATTTCCTATGCTGCACTTTATATCCTCATAACTATTTTGTAACTACCAATTTGTCCTTCTTAATCCCTTCACCTTTTTCTCACTGTTCCCCAGACTTCTTCCCTTCCGATAATCATCAGTTTGTTCTTTTTATCTATGAGTGTGTTTCAATTTTGTTTGTTTATTTTGTTCTTTAGATTCTACACATAAGTTAAATCATATGATATGTGTCTTTCTCTGCCTGATTTATTTCACTTAGCATAACACCCTCTAGGTCCATCCATGCTGTTGCAAATTGTAAGACTTTGTTCTTTTTTATGGCCAAATAATATTCCTTCATACATATGTACCACTTCATTTTTTATCCACTCATCTACTGCTAGGCCGAGGGTTTGCTTCCATATACTCACTATCGTAAATAAGGCTGTAATGAAGATAAGGGTGCATATATTCTTTTAAATTAGTATTTTGGGTTTCTTTGGATATATACCCAGAACTGGAATCACTGGGTCATAAGGGATCTCCACTTTTAGTTTTCTGAGGAACCTCTGTACTGTTTTCCACAGCGGCTGCACCAATCGGCATTCCCACCAGCAGTGCATGAGGGCTCCCTTTTCTCCACATCCTCATGGAGCACTTGTTGTTGATTTATTGTACTTCTCTGATGCTTAGTGATGTTGAGCACCTTTTCATACGTCTGTTGGCCATCTGTGTGTCCACTTTGGAGAAGTGTCTATCCAGGTCCTCTGCCATTTTTGTAACTGGATTGTTTGGGGGGGGTTGGTGTTGAGTTGTATGAATTCCTTATAAATTTTGGATATTAACCCCTTATCCAGTGCATCATTGGCAAGTATGTTTTCCCATTCAGTAGGTTGTCTTTTTATTTTGCCGATAGTTTCCTGTGCTGTGCAAAAACTTTTTAGTTTGATGTAGTCCCATTTGTTTTTTGTTTTGTTTTGCTTTCCTTGTCTAAAGAGATATGTCAGAAAAAAAAAGTACTGCTAAGAGAAATGTCTGAGATTTACTGAGGCAACCACTTTTGAGCAATTCAAATAATATGCTTATGCCGATATTTTCTAAGTTATCAAGCTTAGTATGTATTTTAACTTTATGCTATAAAATATGAGGAATGCTTATTCACTCTCTTTCCCTTTACATTTCTTTTCCCAATTTCTGTGTTTTTTGAAGTTCTGTTTTTTAAGAACCTATAAATATTGGTTACATTTAGAATTATAAGTATTAAACTATTTCTAATTTCATTAAGTTAGACTCCCCACAATATTAAATGAGAAAATTGGAGACCCTAGGTTACCCACCACCTGTTTTTCCCTGGTTTCTCTTCCCTACTGTCTGCTATGACATTATCTCTGCTCTGTCATGAGGGAAAGCAAGAGACCAGAACAAGAGCTGGCCTTCCAAGGCCTCATAAACTCAACAACAGAAGTTGTGAGGAGTTAACAAAGCACTCCAACACTCACTGTTGTGGGTCTTTTCTCTTCCACCAATAAGCGTCAAGAGAGAACCCTATGCTTTCAAGTAAAACGCCATCTTTCTGAGTAGAGGACAAGAGTGAGCCCACGGAACTGGGTCCTGAACTGGGTCCAAAACCTTGTCTCTGCAGACCTATTATTCTCCACTGAGAGTGTTCACGTAGGTGGGTGCACTGTGCACAGAGCAAGACTGAGCATTCTCTGATCACTTTATCAATAGAAGTCAAGACGGAGCCACTGATGCTCAAGTAAGACTCTGCTTCTCCGGTTTGTCTCTACAACAAGGGTCGTAAAGGGGCCCAGTCATGATCCCTCCTAATTTTGATCTTCACCAACATGATCTGCCTTGGAATCTCCTAGAACTAATTATGTTGGTCACTCTGAAAGCTTCAGAATTCCAAGTTATCTCTCATTCCCTTTCTCCTAATTTTCATATCTAAATTCCCCACTTACCCACCTTTTCCTCTCAGACTCCATTTCCTAAATTTGCTCTCTTTCAATCTGTCCTCTGGAACGGAGAGTCCTGCATCACCACAACCACCTGTACTCTCAAATCATGAATAAGCCTTCTCTCCACCACTGTACCCTAACAAAAACCTGGGTTTCTTCTGCAGACACTGCTTACATTGTATGTGGTATCTGTTTACCTTTTCTCACAGCTCTGGATATTTATTTAAGAAATAAATATCCTCCGTTAGCTTCCTTGCTCCTCTGTTAGCTTCCAGACCATTTTCTCCACTTTCTCCCCTCCAGGACAAGCAGCTCCAAATCTAACATCATCAGGCCCTACCACACATCTGGAGCTCACTGCTGCGGTCATACCTACCCCGAGTTATACCCTTCATTTTCTGTGGTTTCAGCGGCTCTCTCATGTGTCTCTGTCTTGAATCATGCTTATTTTTAATATATCCAGAGTTGAAGTCTCAAATTTCACAAGCCCCCAAATTAACTCTTAATTCTTCCCCCAAACCTTTTTCTACTCAGTCTTTCTCATCTGAGTTGCTTTTTTTTTTTTTCATACTGCACATCTTATTGTTCAGCAAATCATGTTGGTCTGAAAAATATCTGTACACAGTCCTTCAAGTAACTGGCCTATATCTGTCCAGCTACCAACTTGTATTTTTTCCAACCTACATTCCAGGCTCCTTGTAGGTACATTCTGAATTATGGCCTCTTCCAGGCTGTTCTATCTCATTCCCTTTATATTCCACATAAGTAACCATAATGTATTAACACTCACTTCTCCCATTCTTCCTTTCTATATTCTCCTCACTATTAGGAATTTATATAATTTTTAAAAATATTTTATTTATTTATTTTTAGAGAGAGGGGAAGGGAAGGAAAAAGAATGGGAGAGAAACATCAATGTGTACTGGGGCCTGGCCTGCAACCCAGGCATGTGCCCTGAATGGGAATCGAACCGGCAACCCTTTGCTTCACAGGCCCGCGCTCAGTCCACTGAGCTACACCAGCCAGGGCAGGAATTTATATGATTTTTATACATTGACTATAATTTCAATGGCATAAAGGAGGAAGATAAAGAAAAAGGTAAATATGGCTGTTCATTCTACTCTCTTAAACCCAAAACTCTGCATTCTCCAAAAGGCTCTTGTACTGTATCCATAAGTTATAGAATAATACTGTGAGTAGATTCAGTCGTTTGTTTGTTTGATAAAGTAGATTTAGTTTCAAACGTGTACCTTGAATTTTATTAATTTCAGTTTCATAACCGAAGCTACTTTTAGAAAGCTTCATTCTCTAACACAGTTTACAGAGAACTGGTGCTCGCGTGTTAATGTCGGCACCATGAGTGGCAGTGATCCTCGGAGACCTCCTGACCCGGGGGGTGGTGCTTCTTTCAGAATGTCTTCACCAGCAGCCTCTAAGGACCAGTGTTTTTCTAATATCACTCTTTCCTTCTGTGGCTCAGACACTTGTTTTAAAGCGAGTCTCCTGGTGTGAATTGCTGAAAAAAATTCCAACAATCTTTGCCAGATAATTTTTAATAACCTGATTTAGTTTGGCAGTACTATGGCCAAAATGAACAAATATATGACAAATAATAAAGCAGGGAATGAACTGGAAGCATATGATGGCACATTGATGAGCAATCGATTTTCAAAGAGTCACATGTGGAAAAAATAGGAGGAGTTCAAGAACAATTTCTAAATAAAACAAGAAGACATAGGGTTCTTTTACTTGGAAGTAATATGAATAAAATACCTAAGTATTCACTTAAACAGGATGAGAATTTCAGTCTCTAAATAACCCTAATATCAAAGCAGAAATTTAATAGAATTAAATAGATTTTCATAACAGGAAATTTTTAGAATCATTTGGAAAAGGAGATGTCAGAAATATACATAAGTTAAAAGAGAAATTGCTATTACAACATACAAATAAAGCTGGCTTTAATAGACTGTTTCGAGGGTTGTTGTAAATGTCCATTTGAGGAAAATCGCAAGTGCCATTAGTGTGCCAGAAATACCATTAGAGAGCACATGTTTTCATCTTCAGTACAAAAATCTTTTTTGAGGTTCTTAAAGATCAGGAAAAGTTAGCTGCAGTACCTCTACTGATTTTAAAAACAATTAAGTTATAGTGTGCACTCCAACTCTGGGAAACACGATATAATAAGGCATTACAGTTTAGTTTTCAATTCATCATTATTCAAAACTTTGGAAATTTGGTCCATTTCTTGGCACTCATTTTCCTTCCCTGGAACCTTGGCCTCGACAGGCACAGTTCCTGTAGAGTCATTGTCACCAGGTAGCTGATATTTCCTCAAAATAATTAGGATCAAAATGGCTGGAATAAAGCTTAATCCTCTTAGTGTTATTGGCAATCCAAGGTAGAGATATCTATCAAAAAATAAAAAGTCAGAACATATTAAATCTTCCATAGACAGTGTGGTGAATACAAACCCGTTTTGCATATCTTTAATTATATTAGTATTTTATTGTCACAAGAACAGCAGCAGCTGTGTTGCATGTTGATCATACATAAGCAACTTTGTGCAACTTGCTCCTTGCTTGTTAAAATGTTTTTTTTTAAGAATTTTTCATCCAGAAAGTCCAGTTTTTTCTTCTTTTCTAATCTTTTGCTGCTCTTTTTATTTTATTTATATTGACTAGACTCTTCAACTTAAATTTAATATTAACAGTGATTGCATTTTTATTCCAGTGCTTAACATGAACGCTCCCAAGGAATCACTGTTGATTAGCATCAGTTCACTGAAGTTTTGGAAAGCTAGCCTTACAGGCCTCAGGATCTGGTGCTTTTAGTGATGCGAATTTTGATCGATTCAGTTTAAATAGCTATAAAAATGTCCATGGTTTTTACATATTATAGTAAAATTTTGGTGATATATTATTTGTTTAGAAAATTCTCATTTAACATGCTTCCAAATTATCTCAAATGTATAAGTAACTGTACTTACATTCCCTTTTCTATTCTTATTTTTTAAATATATTTTATTGCTTATGCCATTACAGTTGTTCTATTCCCCTTTTCATTCCCCTCCACCCTGCACACCCCCTCCCCCACCATCCCCCCCTTTAGTTTATGACCATGTGTCTCAAGTTCTTTAGATTCTATATTTCCCCTACTATTCTTGCCCTCCCCATCTATTTTCTATCTACTGTCTATGCTACTTATTTTCTGTACCTTCTCCCCCCTTCTCCTTCTCCCACTCCCCTTTTCTATTCTTAATAACGTTTGTGTCACCTCTCTTTGTCTTTTCATATAATTGTCATTATTATATTTAAACTTTTCAAAAACACGATTTTAATATTTTGGTCGCATCTATTAATTTCTGCTTTCTACTTTCATCTTTCTACTTCTCAAATTTTCTTTTATTATGAAACATTTCAAGAATACACACAAAAAAAATAAACATCCTTACTCACCACTCAGGTTTTTTAAATAACTAAATTTTGCTGCTCTTATTTCAGACCACTTCAGAAGAAAATACTAATACATTTAAGTCCCCATGTACCCCTGTTGATCTTATTGCCTTCTAACCCATCCCAGATATAACATTATGTTAAATTTTATAAATTTTGTTCCTAGCTTATTTTTATAGTTTTACAGAGGATAATTATACATCCATGATTACACAAGTATTTTACATATTTTTACATTTTAAAAATTTGCCAAAATACAGTCTGTTTTATTCTGAAAATTTCTATATTAGCTCACCCTTTTGAAACTATGTTTGTACATGCAGTTTCACTTTATTTGCTAACTGTTGCACCATATTCCATTGTATGAACATACCACATTCATTAGTTTCCTCTCGGACACTTTTATTGCTTAAATTTTTCTAAAGGAAAAATTTATTGCAGACATTACTGCAATAAACTTCCTTTTACATGTTTCCTTGTGCATGTGAGCAAGAGTTTCTCTAAAATATAGCTAAGGGTCTCAGATGTGGAGTATGCAACTGTGTAAATATTGCCCAATAGTTCTCTCAATAGTTCTTTTTATTTACGATCAGTAGCGCAGGCGAATTCCTATGCTCCCCACTTACGTTCCACCATTCTTTATCGTCGATAGCCTCTCCTGTTGTAAGAAAAATTTTAAATTTTGTATGCAGCCACATTTTCTCATTTCTTGCTCTCTAGTTTGTGTTTAATGCCAACCCAAAGCAAAAGCAATAAAGATTATAAAGATATTAGGACCTGTTGTTGCTCATCACCTATTAGCTATTGGTGCAATTTTCATTTCTTGTAAGTTTAATGTTTATTTCTCTGGGTAACTTCTATATCATTCTTTTTTTTACCTCAATGGTTAATAATTTTACTGTGATATGTGTATTTATATGTATCCTGCTAGGCATTTGAAATGCACTTTTGATCTGAAGTTTTCCATCTCTTTTAAATTCCAGGAAATTCTAAGTCATTAATTCTTTGATTTATTGCTATTTCCTTCATTCTGTTTTTTAGAAATTTCCTGAAATGTATCCTTAGTTAACTGTTCTTTAATATTATTTACTTGTAGTTAATTTTTATGTAATTGGTTCTGATCATTAATTTACATTTTAGATAAATTCCTCTGTACTCAATCACACAGACTTTAAATGTATTACATATGTAGGATTCCCTTTATTATCTCACTGCTATATACACTTAATCTCTCATATTTCTAAGTGTTCTTTTTGATATTCTCATTTTTTCTAGTTTTTTCATCATTTCTTATTCACTTTTAATGGATAGCGAATGCCATCCATTTACTATTTTTAAACCTATTGTGCTGGCTAAGCATACATATTTTAAAACTGTCATCATTTCATCCCTTCATCCTGTCACTTTAAAACTCTTAAATTTAATCTGGGATCAGGTAAATGTTTCAATTGGTGATTTACGTGCTTATCTCTTTAAATATTGGACTTATTCATGTGTTGTTGATTTTTAGCGTACAAGCTCCTTCAGAGTGTGTTGTTGGTGGTGGTGTTTTTGGTTTTCTTTTCTTGCTCCATCTCTTTGCATCACTCCTCCAAATCTGATAAATTTGCCTTTGTTTTGTCCAATTCCCCAGGTTTTTAGGCCAGCCTAGTTGTTATAAGGGTGGTTTTTCATAGTGATGCTGGAAATACTCACAGAGGGTGCACATCACTTGCTTTAGTTCTTTGGTGCATTTGTGTAATATTCCCTCCTAACTAATACAGCGATGAGCTGCAAAAGGTTGTGTGTTTTTTTTTAAAAAACTCTTTTACAATGAGGTTTATATTACTTTCTTTGGGCTGTTGTAACAAAGCACCACAAACTGAATGGCATAAACAAACAAACAAAAATATTCTCTCACAGTTCTGCAGGCTAGAAGTCTGAAATCCAGGTGTTGGCAGGCTCAGGCTCCGTCAGACGGGCTCAGGAAAGAATCCTTGCCCTGCTCTTCCTCCCTGAGACTAGCTACCGGCAACCCCAGCACGCTCTGGTCTGTAGGTGCATCCCTGCAATCTCGACCCCTGTCACACATGACATTCTCCTGATGTGTCTGTGGCGCTGTGTCTCCTTTCCCCTTCTTAAAAGGACACCAGTGATTGAATTTAGGACCCATTAGATCCACTATGACCTCGTCTTAATTTAACTAACTCCATTAGCAAAGACCTTGTATCCAAATAAAATATTCCGAGTGTATAGGCAAACGTGAAATTTTGAGGAGCACTATTCAACCCAGTCCCAGGGGTGTTCTACCCCACTATTCGGATCAAAGCATTGACTCTGGATCTAGTCTCTTAAGAAGCACTTTATTTCTCCTTTAGAAGCTGATGTCCCAGAAGCCACTGCCTGGTTCTAGGTTTACAGTGTTCCTATTCAGCCTTTGAACTCAGCTGTGTTTATTCCCTTTATGTTTCTGTTCAATTTCTGGTTCAGCAAAACAGGAAGTCCAGGGTGATGTTTATTTTGTCTTCGAACCTGGATATGTACCCTTTGGAATTATAAAAATATGTAGCTTACTGAATCACCTATCAGATGGTATTTTTGTTGTTTTCTTTTAAAATTTGAGTTCATTAATACTCAATCTTTTAAATATGTACATATTCAAAGTTCTAAATACACCTTTGAGTACTGATTTAGCTTCATCTCGTAAGTTTCCTTATTTCATGTTTTCATTGACATAAAGTTCCAGTTAATTATTTTGTTATAATTTATTCCTTCAACCATGAGTAACTCCAAACATGTGGTGTTTGGCAATATTTTTATCATAGATTTCTCATTCTGTAACAGGGTGCAGGCAAGAGGGGGGTACCAAATAGGAATTTGTAGTGGGGTCCAGAACTCAAGGTGCCTAGGAAATATTAGAAAAATATATAGGATGTCCTCACTCCTCCGTGCCTACAGGTTTGAGTTGGGGGTAGGGACACAAGGGCAGGGCCGTAGAGAACTGTTTTGTACAGCAACAACCTTGCAGCTAACCTCTGGCATGGTCATTTAACAAATCTATAACCTTTAGCTGGCTTCACAGATACGTTAAATAGCTGTGGCTGTGCTTTGATCCAGGGGGATGGAAGTGACTTCCACCCAAGATGTAACTGGGAGGCAACTCCCCCTGATTACACACCTGTACGACAGCTTGGAGATGATTGGCTCCACGCCATGGGGCCACACCTGCCCAGACTCACTATAGCAGCCCAGTAAAGCTGGAAGGATATAGGAATGCTGGCAGGTGTAACCTGCAGAGAAAGATCGAGGCAGGCATTTTATCCCAGACATGGCAGCCATTTAAGAGAGAACCATGTGGCTTTGGCAGAGTAGGGACTCCCTGAAGCTTGGGGAGAATGAGGACCACATTTGTGGCTGTGGGGTGCTCCCTTTTGCTACGTTGCTTGGGAAGCAGGAGACACTTTGCCTAGAAGAAAAGGGGTGAAAGGACTCTTGCTGGTTGGCCATCAGAAGGTGCCACATGGCTTTGGGTTAATGGAAATCGTGGTGGCGACACAGCTGATGGCACTGGGAGCCTGAATCACAGACTTCTGCTTCTTTGCCTGAGATAACAGTGCCCCGGATTAGGACAGAGGGAGAAGCAAGGACTGTGCTCGGCTGTGGGCATCCTAAAGGACTTTAATATTTTAATGAAGACATTGGGTCACTACTTAAATCTGTATAGCTTTAAATAAACATTCACTTTCCTTTTCACAAATCTCTGGCAAATCATCTTTCCTCTGGTGCGGGGTCCTTTCAGTAATAGTATATCATACCCCACCTTGGGTCTGTTCTGTCACAATTTCATTGCACTGGGGACAGAAAACAGAGGTTGTAAAGTATCAATACTGAGAATTTTTTTAAATTTTCTTTGTGACATAGTACCTGATAAATTCTTATAAATGTTTATTATAGATGTGAAAAGAATCCATATTCTGATCATTGGGTTAAAAATTGCTGTGTACTATGATATAACTGTTATGTAATTTGGTGGGTCAAATATTCTGTATTTATGCCAATTTTATCTTTATATTTCATATTCACTTTTTGGAGAAGTGTGTTGAAATTGTAATCTACAATCTACTCTGTAGATTTTTATTGTAATTTTATGAATTTTTGTTTTATATATTTGAAGTTATGTTGCTATGGATTTCTATGGGCTCATAACTATTACATATTTTTGGTAAAGTGTTTATTTTATTATTAAGTAATATTCTCTTTAACTCTACTAATCCTTTTCATTTTAAATTCTGTTTTATCTCATAGTCATTAATATATCTATAGAAGCTTGATTTAATATATGCCTGGAATGTCTTTTCTGACCTTTGTCTTCAAACTTTCTTTGCATTATAGTTTTTAGTCTATCTCTCATAAGCCACATATAGCTAGAATTTTGAAAATTCTAATGTGAAAGTCACTATCATTTAAAAAGCAAGTTCAATTGGTTACATTTGTCATGAAACCTGGCATATTTAGGCTTAGTTTTTTAACTCATTTTGTATTTTCCTATTTCTCATTACATTGAATTTGTAATATTTTTTCCATTCTATTAATGGGAATAAGTGTAAGTGATCATGCTTAATTTTGGCATTCAGCAGTGTTCCTGTTCTCAAAAACTATCAAAGAGTTTTAGATTTTCCCCGGATTTCAATCTAAATGGTGAGTTTGCCACAGTGGCACTGATGCTGGCAGAAAGCACAGGACTTCATGGTCGGAGACAAAGGACTTTTTTACTGACATATTTAATGTCAGGTTGTTTACCTTAACCCCAAGTCCCAAAGGGGTGACACAGAAGGAGATGCTGGTGAGTGTTGTACACCCAGTGGATTTGGGTCACAGCTAAGAAATCCTGAGTTGAGGAAATTCCAAACTTTGAAATGGGTTGCAAGTAAATCTACCAATATTAGCCCAGAAGGAGATTTTATCTTCATCATGCTGGACACTCTGCTCCAGAAGGAAACACTATCCATATATTCCAAGGACAGGTACTGTTCAAACATCCTTGAAAAGGGAGTCCAGTACAAAAGCCCCTGCTAACAAGCTAGGCAGAAATGCAAGGGGACCATGGAGAATTCCCTACCCACGCTATCTACCTCTTGTTTCTATACTTGTATTAGTTTATGGTGAATTTTCTCATGAGAACACTTTATTAGCCATCCTAATTAATCTGACTGATGGAGGATAGTACCAATTATATAATCATCTTGTCTGAAATAGCATTTACTTAAGGCTGCTATCTACGGGATTCTAAGTAGCAGGATGAAGACAACCTACACTAGGAACCCTTGGGGTTTCTCAGCTATGATGCAAATCCATCACCTGCACAGTATGTGGTTGGACCTGCCTCCTCATTACCCCTGTGGCACCATGGGAAAAGGGGAACTGACAAAAACAGGAATCTTAGGCTGTCTGCTCTCTTCACTGTTCTTAACAGCAAAGTCCTTGACAGCCCTTTTACTGATCAAGATTAGATCTTAGAATGTTTTAAACAAAACTAAACTGTTTTCTAATAAATTAAAGATTTTTCTTACTGCCTCATTAGAACTTAACACAAAATTAAACCACATTTAGGTATCAAATGAAAAAGAACTTTTTGTTTTGGATGGTATCAAATCAATACCAGAAAGAGAAGAAAAGAAACAAGGGGAAAAAATGAAAAATAACTTAAAGTAGAAAGATTAAAAATGGGAGAATTTTGTTCAAAAACAGGTTAATATGGCCCTGGCTGGTGTAGCTCAGTGGATTGAGCGCGGGCCTGCGAACCAGAGGATCGTGGTTCGATTCCCAGTGAGGGCACATGCCTGGCTTGCAGGCCAGTTCCCAGCAGGGGACACACGAGAGGCAACCATACATTGATATTTTTCTCCCTTTCTCCTTCCCTTCCTCTCTAAAGATAAATAAATAAAAATCTAAAAAAAATAAAAAACAAACAAAAACAGGTTAATATTATCATGTCTTGCTCAAAATTATATTTATATTAACAAAAAAAAGCCTTTAAGAGACATGAAGAATATTGTGTCAGAGAAGTTTAATGAGGGAAAAGTATCACTTTGGAGAGCAGAGGTGGATGGTGCTAGAAGGTAAAGATTCAAGCTAGTAAGATACTAAAATGACGGATCATGAAATGGGAATACTTCAGAGCAGCGATTTTCTACCAGTGTGTTATAGCAGGCGTGTGCTACGAGAGTTTTTAAAGCATGCAGCCCTTGAGTATCTAGTCAGGGGCGCTGACCTCTTTTCCCGTAGATTGTCAAATAAAAAAAATGACAACCACCAACCCAGCAATAACTGTCCAGTGTGAATGAATCAAAATTATATCTACTTTTGTCATGTATTAATTTTTTGCTGCAGAATTTTAGTAATTAGTGTATGTGTGCCATGAGACAAAAAAAGGTCACTGTGGAGAGTAATGTCACTTAGATAGGTAGTGCATGTACCTTCAATAATGCATTCACTGCAACCCAGTTCACAAATCACATTTTGAAAGGCTAGGTTGAGGAAATCATCCATATTTTACTTATCCGTACTTTGAAGATACTGAGGAAATAAAATTGTAGTATGTAAGTAAAAATGGAGATATTGTTTCCATATCTATTCTGGAAACAAAGCAAAAAAAGTTGACTAGTCACGACAAAATATTAGACATACTGGTGCCATTTTATACAGTCTAGGCTAAGAAAACAAGTCTAAAAAATTTATCTTTACCTGAAGGTGGTAGAATTATATATCCTGCATGCTCCTGACTCACCACATTTAAAAGTTGGCCAGTGTAAACATGTGGAGTCCATTAAAGCTCCAAAATATATAGGTGCAGGGATACCAGCTACAATGAAAAAGAGAAAAATCCATCAACAGGGTAAAAATTAGGATACATTGTTTTGTTTGGAAGTGTTTCTATTTCCCCTATTTGTAAAACCAAGTTTAACAAAACGTAAATTTAATACTTTAAATTTGATTTTTGGAAATTAGAAATTACTTTTATCCTTAAAGCTTCTAGATTATAGAGGATCAGTAATCTTATGGACAAATGCAACATAAAACCTACTGATGGAGAAAAACATTGAATTAATGATTACATTTTTTTCTGTAATGTTTGGGCCAGTCATATATACATTTTACTTTAACATAGCATTTTCTATTCATTGGATTTTCAAATCCAATAGATGAAAAATAAAATTAAGGTCAAATGGGACTTTTTTAAGTAAAAGAGGGAAGTTCTTTATCTCTTCTTGTAGGAATTACAAGAAGGAATTACAGAGCACTATTAAAAGCGGGAGGAATATAGAGACTGCATTTACTTAGCATTTAGTAATGGTCTGATACAATGTTAGAAAAAATGACTGCTCTTACCAAATGCTCTCGTGGAAAACATATGTAATCCCACACCAAGAGATTTATGTTCAGGCTTGATACACCTAAAAATAAATTAATAAATTAATAAAATCCAGATATTAAACTCTACGTTATAATCTTGGCAAGAGATTGAGGAATAGAGATGTGAAGAAAGCTGAAAGCATAATTAAGTACTTGCCTTATTAGGGAGTAGATATTCATACTGAGAAGTTTTGAAACTGATGAGAGAAACAAAAACATAGCTAAGAATTTCAATAATCGGGTCAACCATTTGAGAGATAATACCTTTCAAAACAGAAGAAAAAATCTAGTATGTACCATGTAAAACAATAAAAAGAAGCAAAGAGAAACAATAAAAAGAAGCAAAGAGAAAGTCCAATAAATGAAATACGTGAAATAAAATGGCAAGAAGAGCCACGTTACAATAATTATAGTAAACATGAGTAGGCTAAATTCACCAGTCTCACAGTACAAAATCAGATCTAGCAAACTGTTTATGAAGTGAAATGAAAGAACTGAAGATTAAAATTAAAGGGAAGGAAAATTATATAACAGGAAAGAAAAAATAGAGTTTTCTTTAAAATAGAAAAAATAGAAAAAACTCTATTTTTTCTTTCCTGTTATATAATTACCACCTAGCACTGCAATTTTAATGACCACCTAGCACTGCAATTTTAAGAGTTTGCATTAAGCATTATTGACTTATGAAATTTTAAAGGTAGCACTGTGAGTGTTCATCTGTTGGCTTCTCCCTTTGTTACTTCTATTACCACCTAGCACTGCAATTTTAATAAGAAGCAAAAGGAAATTCCTTTAAAAGGAATGATGAAAAGATAAAGAAAATTGAGTGCTGGTGGTAATAGAAGTATAGTGATCAAAGGCACATCTTCGCCTACAATGCCACCTCTAAATATGTAAATTTTTAAATGACATAATTATAAGGAGAAACACATCAGAAATGTTCAGAGATTTTGACAGACATTCCTGAATTGCTGATGGGTTAAGCAGACAAAAAACAATTCCAGATTTACACAATTCAGATAATGCAAAGATTTACTTCAAGAGATATGGAAACTATACCTAGAAATGCAGAAGATATACATAAAACACTAAAAAATTAGCATGCGTTAGGCACCAAAGAAAGCATCAATATTTCTCCTCAAAACTCCACATCTTTCAGATCGTGTTCTCTGAACCTAAAAATGAGATAAAAATAAAAATATACCTATAAAAAGTTTCCATATATATATATATATATATATATATATATATATATGGAAGTTATGTAACACACTAATAAGTAATAAACTAATTTCAATTTATGGATACTTATGACTAGAAGGAGTGGAGAATGAAATGAAAATGATAAAACTAAAAAAATGAAACGAGAGAAACCTTACTCCAATCTATGACAATAAGGTGCTATGGAACTGAGAATGATGACTAACTTAACTCTGCTTCTGCGTTCCAATAAAACATGAAGAAAGGAGAAATAAATGTAAACTTTGTTTGGTAGGCGTGTTGAGAATTGTTTATTAGGCACAGAGAATACTGTAATGGAAAGCACACAGGTACAATATACCAAAGCCTGAGTCCTACTTCTGTAATTTCCTAGTCTTAGTAAGCCTTTCACCATTTGTGTCTCGCAATAGCCAAGTAAGAGAGTTGAGCACTTATTATTATGTCCACTTTTTATTTAAAAAAATGTGGAGCTCAGAAAGGTCCAGTGTCCTGCCTAATGCCCTGTAGATAGTAATTGGTGAGACAGGCTTCTAACAGCTTTTCTCTGCTGTCTTTACAGGTCAGACCATAGGCTAGGAGTGCCAGGCAACCACTCTATCTACCAAAATGCCTGTTTGATACGGTCTACCTCAAAATATAAATGTGTCTCTTTTTGTGTTAAACAATGAGAATCTCACTAACTCAACTGTAAGAAATAAGAAAAGAAACAAAGGGAGAAGCCAACAGATGAACACTCACAGTGCTACCTTTAAAATTTCATAAAGGTCAATAATGCTTAATGCAAACTCTTAATGGATGATAGAGTAAAGCACTGAATTGTTAGATATCTTGGGCTCCAACTGGCTTTCTTAAAAAGTTGCCTTAATACATGACCAGAAAGGAATCTAAATTAAAAAAAAAAACACAATAATTTGTGTACCTCAGGAGAACCATATATCCAGGAATGGCGGATAAAGAATAGATGAAACTGCTGATGGACGACAAGATTAAAAAGTACTGGAGCATCATGGAACAGTCGGGGCCTCGGGCACACAGCCCAAGGACTGCAGACGAGTTTCCTGAGGTTTGAATGCAGCTACAGTTTTGGAACACCTGACAAAAATAACATACGATCCTATTTAGGGAAGAAAACTTTAAACACGAATCTCGAATATTTTCCACATCACCAGTTGGATCAGGATGGAGACTGTTTACATCCTTTATTCTCATCTCCTTTGTAGTGTCTCTCAGGATCACAACAAAAAAACCCAAAACATAGAAGGGTCGTCTCAGAAACAGTGTCCGTCTTTAAATATAGAGTCTGGCACAAATAACACCCCTTTTATGATAAAATCTTTTATTACAAAATCATAAGTGTGTAATTCCATAACATAGCAGTATCACACTCAAGGATACCACATGACATTTTAGGTGAAGTGTTCTAACCTGAAGTCATGATTTTTAAAAATACATACTGTTTTGCCACAATACTAAGTATGACAAGCAAAATTTCTTTTAGAATGTTCTCTTGAAATATTTAGATACTTAGGATAAATAAAGCTTTGTTTCAAATAATATGGTTTATTGAAAAACAGGCTAAAGTTAATTAACCTTTTTGAATTCTTATGTTCAGGTGTTAATAAGAATCAAAATTTACATTTTACTTTGATCACCAGCCACCTTTTAGGCAAGAAAATGCCTAATTCTATCATAGAAAGCTTCCAGAATGTGAAAAACATGGAAAATATGTACATAGAGAAAAAAAAAAGTGAAACAATTAGCTGGATAATTGGGATCAAAACTGCCAACTTTATATCAATAATAAAAATATTTCAGTCCAGATTATTATTTTTTTAATTGCCTGAGTAATAATGTTGACTGCTATGAAATTCAATACCAGTGCTCAGGCACCACAAAGATTTAAAACAAGCTATAGGAAATAAAAGTGTAGCAAATCAAGTGAGCCTATGAAAAAAGTAAGTTTAATTTTTCCACAAAAAATTAATTTGGCTTTAAAGAAAAGCTTTAATTGTAATGGTATCAAGTGCGGGCCCAGTTCACAGTTGGAAAACACCAATGCAGGTCATTAAACAAAATTTCTGTTAAAAAAAAAACAAAATGGCGATAGGTCGTGTTACCATTTTTAGTCCTGTTCCAAAGAACGTCTCACAGCCAGCCAGACAGGCTGACATATAGGACAGCCCGTCGCTCCCACACACGGGGTCCCACGTTTTCGTCGGACAGTTGCAACCTGCGTTGCAGTCAGCAAGGATGTCATTTCCAGCGTGGGAGCCTTGTTGCATTCTGAAATGATGTAAAATAATGCCATGAATATTGAAAGACTGTTAGGAAATTTTTTTTCATTTCAGTCCGCATTTAAATTTCTCTCTTCCCTAAAATAGAAACAGAAATGTTCCCACCATCGATGTGTGACCTGGGGGCTACAGATATGGCAGAAAAGTCAGACTTCGGTGACTACGTAGCCACTTTTTCAATGATTTAGTTCAGATAAACAAACAGCCAATCAAATCAACAGGCATTAATTGAGTGCCTACCACATGGAAAGTGTTTTCCAGGTTTATGGGAACTCAAAAACAAACTCGACCTAATCCCTGTGGTTGATCCATATTGTGGAAATTAACAAGAGAGATCACATCTTAAAAAGGCAAGTTCAAAGGCTCACTTTAAGATCAAAATATGTAAGTTCAACACATAATATACATAATACATTTAGTTCCAGAAACATAACTACATGTGTAAACCAATACATTCTTCTAGTACAAAAATGAATCAGGAACTGAAATCAGAAACAACCAGTGTTGCCATTTTGATGGCCACCCATGCAGGAAGCCAGCCCAGGCAACCTGGTCAGCCATCAAGCCCCTCCTACGGCCCCACTAAGGCAGGAAGCCAAGCTAGGACCCCTGCCTTACTGTTAAGTATGGCCTCTGGCTCCACATAACCAAATAACCCAGGGCAGCCTCAGAGCCTGGCCCTCAGCACTACCGGACTGTGGCGCCAATCCTGCAGCCAGCGCGGTCCAGCAGCAGAACCCAGCCTGTGCCCCACCCAATGGCTGAACACAAGCTGCGACCTTGCTCGGTCAGAGAACCCAAGCAGTGACCCCACCTAACCATGCAGCATGTTCTGTGGCCTCACTCAAGGAGAGAATGGGGACAGTGAGCCTGCTCGACCAGGGAGCACGACCTCGAGCTCACCCAACCTTCCTGTAGACCCAGGTAACCTTCAAAGTACGTATCTAAAACTATTCAATAGTGAGACATGACTACACAAATATAAGAATTTGTATATGAATTAATGTATCCTGCACGAGGATTCAGTTATGCTAAATTTAAGCCTTTTGTGGAAACACGTAAAGGCCATTGAGACTGTATAGTCAACTCTTAATTTTATCCACTTACAGAAGTATAAAATATATGGATAACATATCCTCCTGCAACCTAAAATTATAGGTAGTTTCTTTTGATCTCCACTTTAATATCCACTAGGATACATGTAATCATAAACTCACCAACCCTATGATATGTTCCCAACTTTTTTAATAAACCTGGAGCCCGAATGTACAGGTACAATTGGCAGATGAAGGAAAGATGAAAGACCGTGGATTACTGACTGCCATTAACTCCAATTAGCAAATGATTTGGTCATGGGTAATCACTGGAGAAATATGTTGTTAACTATTCAAAGTGTGTAACATTCTTTAGTAAAAAACATACCCTTTATAAGAGGTGGTTAAGCCAGCAACTGCAGAATTTTCACAGACCATGAGAAAACACAAGAAGTAGAGAAAATAGTCTATTAAAGACAACCAAAAGGCTACGTGGGCAGCTCGTCTGACAGTAATCTTGAACTTTTTCATAATTAAACCTCCAAATATATATCCAAAGCATATCGGAGGTAAGTTATAAACACCTATAAATGCAAGAAAAATGTCATTTACAATGCGATTTAGCAAAGGAACAAATATGACTTTACTTCTATTTAACATGTCTCTCAAACAAAACCATTTAGGTCCAATTCACAGTAAAGGTGGCTGACTGAATTTTATCCCTACTTAATTACGTGTGATATGCAGAGATATTTTTAAATGTCCCTCAGTGTCAAAGTATATTTTGAAGGCTATTATTATCACTCATTTAATTAATTATAGGAGATGTCTTCCAGGCAGAGACCATGATCTAAATACCTTTTCTTAGGATTCAGGTGGGAGTGACAAGTCAAAGCTCACCAGTAATTTATCTTTCCATTTTGGGAGATATACATGTATGATTTACATAATTTTTCTGTTGTTTATGTCCACTTTGGTTGTTAAGAATTTGACTCACTTTAAGGTACTTTAAGAGATTACTGCTCAGCCTGTAATTGTCAAGTGTACCTACATTTCATGTCTTTCAGCTACTGCTGCTACTACCTACATCTGCCTCCAAAAAGGGAAAAAGAAGAAAAAGGAAGATACAGCCAGAGGTTGCATTCTTCCTTGTCAGCATCTGCTGACTGAATCATACCCTTGGGAGAGGTTGTTAAAAATCCATCAGAGAGCCCTGCACGGGGAAACTTGGATTTGGTATGGCTAAGGTGGGCACCAGGTATCTTAACTATTCATTGTAGGACACATGGATAAAGATAATAGTAAATTCACTCTCAAAACTGTAAAAGATCCCTGGAGAAACCTAAAGTTTGTGTGGGAGACGGCTCGGGGTGGGAAGGAATGGTTTGGGGGCTACAGAAATACCTCAGACCACCAGGGGGAGTAGGGGACCATGGAATTCATGACTAGGAGCCAAGAGTAAAATCTTGAGAGTAAAACACTCCTAATGAATTAACTCTTGCCTTCTTTTTTTTCACTAATGGATTGCTTATCTGAAAATTGTATCAAATCTGTGCAGTTACTCAATGTTTCCACAAATATTTTGAATGTGCATTCTGACTGGAGAGAAAGAGAACAGAGAAGAAAGCCAGGCTTTCTCTTCCTGCCTACCCTTTGTTGATTTCATGGGAGAACAGAAGGAAGAAATGTACCAGAGACAGAAATATCCCAACAGGTTTTATTTTAGGAGTTCCCTAGACACATCAGCACTCTGATTACCATTTTATGGGTGGGGGAGGGGGAGGAGAGGGGGAGAGTGAGCTCCGGATGCAGAGAAGAACAAACATACCAATTAGAAAGACTGCATCAGAAGTTGATTTTCCATATTGCTGTTCCAGATATTTAGGCATGAAGAACATCATATTAACAAATGCGTTAAACTGTATCACACTTACTAGTATAAAAAGCATGTAAATTGGGTTGCAAAAAAGAATTTTCATGAATGGTAAAAAATCTGAAATGAAAGAAAGCAACAGTGTCAAACTAATTTGACTTTGTATTTTATGACTGACTTTCTCTGAAACATCAACTTTCCCTCCAAATTGTTTTCCTGTTTTATAATGCACATATTGTTCATCTGTTTTACCCCTTAAAAGCTGAAGTTATGTCATTGTTTTGTGGAGCTTCTTCCAATCAGTGACACAGTTGACTAGGTAGGTATCACAACACAACAGTTTTGCTTTGACTAAGTGACTATTGTATATTAAGGAAAAATTATAACATGACCAAAATATTACAATATTCATATCATTTCTTTTTATCCCTCTCTTTTGCCTTCTATTAATATCTTCTCTTCCCTGAAGATTATCTAGTAGGAAAGATGTTCTGATCTCCCTAAAATCTGGAAGAAAATCAATTTGATAAAGTTCATACTCTAATATTGATATTATCACTCCTGAATATTTAAAATGTTGATAAATAAATATTTGGGAATTCATGGGATATACATTTTCTCAAGTGCCAGGTGTTTCTTTGTTTCTTCAAAACATCAGTTTTGGTGATTCTGCCAATGTTTCACAACAAAATGTGCTTAAAACCGGTTACTTGGGTATCTTTTAAAATACCAACTTCCAGGACCCACTACTCCCTAAGATCCTGATTCGTTAGACACATACCAAGGGCTGTGTAAATAATTTAATCAAAACTTGTCCCTGCTGGTGTGCACTGACAAAACACGGAGCCAGATTTGTGGCCCATCTCTGGGAAGTGCTCTCGGAAGCAGTCACACAGTTGCCATTTGGTGTCAAGTCTAACTGACCGTTTCTTTTGACTTTCCCTGCTTTAATGTTTTCTGTCTTGATTACCTTGCTTATTCTGTTTTATCCTGGTTTTCTTAATAAACTGCTTAGAAGTGCATTCGGGAACAAAGTACCAATAAAGCATTCGTGGGAGGAAATGAGTCCTGGTGGCAGAATTCACATTTATGAAGAAAATACATAGCAGAGATGAAACTTGTGTTCAGAGCTCTTGGAAGATTTTGAAGTCGCTCATTTTGTTGCCGTCCCTGTTCTCATACAAGACTCTCAATAGTTCAAATTCTTTTCTGTTGATATATGCTATGAGCTAAGCATATGATATAGGTTATGCTAAGCTAAGCTCTTTTCTAGTTTTGAAAAATGACCTAGTTTTGAGAGACCAGAGACATATTCTACATTAACATCCTTTCTCAGTCCATATCATCCCTTTGAGAAGAGTTGTAACATAATCACAATGACTAAGAATTTGCAAGATTCTGAATTAGCTACTAATGATCCAGAAAATATTAAATTATGTTCAATTGTGGCTTATGTGAATTTGTAATTATTAATAAAAATTCTGTGTAAATCGGTATTATAAATTTATGGGTGATTTAGAAGTAACAACATCAACAATAGTAATACTAATACTACTAAAAATAATAATAGTACCCTGTGCCTAAATACTTTTTACCCTCATGCAATAATTCTAAAACTACTATTATTAACTAAATTTTACAGATAAGGAAACTTAACCCTTCCCTACCTTCTAGCTGAACACTCCTTAAGAATTGCAAGGCCCAGGCCATATTAATAAAACGCTCATAATAATTAAATTGGGTCTTGGGAATAACACAGACACTCCAGGCATCAGTAATTTAAAAAATTTCTGAGGTGATTACAATATGTGACCAAGTTTTAAAATCAGTGTTCTTGAATACCAAGTGCTTAGACTCCCTTAACTTAGTTCTCCACAGAACCACCTTCTGTAAATTACCCTTTGAGATTTATTGACCATCCATACCAACGAAAAAAGCACTGTTAAATGAAATATGGTTCTGCATTTGCTGGGAAACAACTCTGTGGCTCGATATTGCCTACAGCGCACATCACGGAGCAATTCTTTTTTGCAGTTTGTTACTTGGGAAAAATTCTCTCTTTAAGAAGAGTTGTTCTTCCTTCTCTCAAATATAGAGAATTATATAACCTGTCATGTTTTATTTTTGTGGCTTAACCTCCAAGTATCTCACAGCTAAACTAACATTTCTGGTCTCAGAACTACACTCTTATTCGGACTAGTGTATTTTTCTCCTTCAGTTCTTAGTTTGAATCTCTTCTTTAAATTAGACCTTTAAGGTACATGGGACGGAGTAAATAAATCAATAAATAGCTTGAGTGCCCAGATTGCTATAAATTTGCATATGAATACTCATCAGAGATAATTCAGTTTCCAAATATATTGTTCATTTCCAAGTAGTAGCATGGAAGACTAAGACTAGGTAGGCACTATTGACTGCTGACTGCCAATGACCAATTGCCCTAATACAGCCTAGCAAGTTTCAGTGCTGTACTAAAATACAGACACATTTGTATAAAATAAAAAGTAAATCATGCAGTATTTAAAATGTTTATATTTGCCTTTGGTGATTCGATCACTTTCCTTCTTGACCTCTTCTTTCTGTTTCTCTTCTTTGTCATTTTTAATGGTGTTGGCATCATCCTTTGCTCCTTCCTTGGCAAGCGTTTTGGGCAGAAAGAAAAAGGGAATGGCAGTGAGCACATTCACTCCTGCGCAAATCAACAGGCCAAGCCACCATGCACCAACCCAGCGGGTATCAGTGGGAGTTATGGTCAGATCATCTGTAAAAGATACACATATTTCTATTAGCTTTAGTCATCATTTTCTGTATGCACTGCAGGAAAAAAATTAAATTACTATTCTCCGTTTCTACTCAAGTATAGAGTTTACACACAGTTCAGACGTTCATAAAAGTTGTCTGATGATGCATAGTGCTACAATGTTGTCTAGCAAGAAATTAGTTTGAAGATCTGCTCTATTGTGTCAGGAATTTATAAACAGGTACTTACTAAATAACTGTGAGGCCTATTTAATTATCCAGAAATGATTGCTTGATGAAAAAAAATCCAAATCTGTATGCCTAACTCTTTTGAAAACAAGAAATATAGTCATGGCGCAGTAGAAACAGCACTGACTTTTGAGTCAGAAGTTCAGTATTTTATCTAGCTCTCCTGCTTACTAGAACTTTTAGAATTATTGAAATGCCTCCACTTTGGTTTTCACTCCTGCCAACTATAGTTAACCTATCCAATGGAAGGTCAGTAAAGAAACAATGGACCGTGATAGCACACCGGAAGTTGCCTGGTGTGCTCTGGCACTGTGCAAATAGGTTGTAATGAATTACCTGTGTTCACAGATCCCATGTCAACATATACTTTTGCACAGAACGATGCCAACAAAAGTCCAAACAAAGGACCAATGATCGCTCCTGTTTCTACAAACCCTAAAGATAAAGAAAAATTAAAAGTTAGAGTACAGTTATATATTCACATAAAGAGTTCTAATTCCACAAAGAATCAAAAAATTGAATTACTTTTGCTTTAGATATGTTTGCCTTAGATATTCATCTTGTAAGAAAATTAAGCTTGGTGTGCATATATGTAACAAGTTCTATAAACACTGAAGAAAAAATTCCTAATTTAAAGCCACTTGCTGGAGCAGTGTAGGCTGGAATCATAATATGACTGAAGCCACAATGTGGAGTAAGACTCTTGTGAGGCTTTCCATAGCCATGTTTTTAGAGGAATTCTAACACAACGCCATGTTATAATGAATTTCTTGTGGCATAATCCTCCGAAAAGCTTTACTCCCAGGTCTTCTATTTGAAGCTTCCTCTGGCTTTGTCCTCACTATTACTGATACTTCACTTTTATCAGAATCTGCTTTGTTGCCCTTCACGTCCTTATCTTCTCTTTCCATCAGTCCCCGCTCTCCTCATAACTTCTTTTTTTTTAATTTTTTAAATTTATTTTTTATTGATTATGCCCGTACAGTTGTTCTATTCCCCCTTCATTCCCCTCCACCCTACCCCCCATCCCCACCATTACCCCCCCTTTAGTTTATGACCATGTGTCTCAAGTTCTTTAGATTCTATATTTCCCATACTATTCTTGCCCCCCCATCAATTTTCTATCTACTGTCTATGCTACTTGTTTTCTGTACCTTCTCCCCCCGTCTCCTCCTCCCACTCCCCTGTTGCTAACCCTCCTTGAGATCTTCATTTCTATGTTTCCACTCCTCTCCTCATAACTTCTTAGTCATCTGGAATTTCATTGTTTTAGTTATCTTATAACTTTTGCACAATCCAGAATCTATGCTACAACTTATTTGCTCACTGAAAATCCAGACATGAACTTCTGCTACCCTTCTCTTGACTTCAAAATGGGTTTGCCCATTGTCTCTGCTTTCTCCACAGCTCTACAGGATAGTTAATTCTACGTGCATCTGACCTCTTCACATCAACACCTTCTATTATCTTCTCTGAGGTCCTGTTCAACCAAACACTTCTCTTGTGTTTGTTCAATTTCTTCCATCCACTGATACCTACAATACACCAGATCCACCCTGCTCTCTTCCCTTTCAGGACCCTTTGCCTCTCCTTCCTCACCAATCATTCACTCTACTCAAATCCTTCCACAGCCTACTCAGAATAATCTCAAGTGGTAGCACCAATAATCTCTGGATCACCTATCCAGTCTCCTTTTCTGGCCCTCATCCTCCTAACCCTCCTTGTTATTTAACATTGCCGGCCAACTTCTCTTTGACATTCTCCTTCCAAGACTCAAAACGATACCTTTATTTGTTGTGTTGTGTTTTGTTTTGTTTATGAAAATGAGTTTATTTTATCTTATAATTAACAAAATAATTTTAATTATATTTCATTGGTTACTATTGTCCCTTTTTTTCTCACCTTTATTCCCCTCCACCCTGCATATCCCCCCACCCACATTCCCCTCCCCCGGTTGGTTCATGTCCATGGGTTGTACATATAAGTTCTGTGGCTTCTCCATTTCCTATACTATTCTTAACCTCCCCCTGTCTATTTTTGTACCTACCAATTATGCTTCTTATTTCCTGTACCTTTTTCCCCATTCTTTTCCCACCCCTTCCCCACTAGTAACCCTCCACATTATCTCCATTTCTGTGATTCTGTTCCAGTTCTAGTTGTTTGATTAGTTTGCTTTGTTGTTGTTTTTGTGTCTAAGTTCAGCTGTTGGTAGTTATGAGTTTGTAGTCATTTTACTGTTTCTATTTTTCATCTTCCTTTTCTTAGATAAGTCCCTTTAACATTTCATATAATAAGGGTTTGGTGATGATGAACTCCTTTAACTTGACCTTATCTGGGAAGCACTTTATCTGCCTTTGCATTCTAAGTGATAGCTTTGCTGGATAGAGTAATCTTGGATGTAGGTCCTTGTTTTTCCTGACTTTGAATACTTCTTTCCATCCTCTTCTTGCCTGCAAGGTTTCTTTTGAGAAATCAGCTGATGGTCATTTGGAAACTCCTTTGTAGTTAACTATCTCCTTTTCTCTTGCTGCTTTTAAGATTCTCTCCTGATTTTTAATCTTGGGTAAATCAGTTATGATGTGTCTTAGTGTGTTACTCCTTGGGTTCACCTTCTCTGGGACTCTCTGAGCTTCCTAGACTTGCAAACCTATTTCCTCTACCAGACTCAGAAAGTTTTCTTTCATTATGTTTTCAATTTCTTGCTCTTCCTCTTCTCCTCCTGGCAAACCTATGATTCAGATGTTGGAATATTTGAAGTTGTCCCAGAAATTCCTAAGCCTGTCTTCATTTTTTTGAATTATTTCTTCTTCATTCTATTTCAGTTGAATATTTAATTGTTTTCCATTCCAAATTGTTGGTTTAAGTCCCAGTTTCCTTGCCTTCGCTGTTGATTCCATGTGTATTTTTCTTTATTTTGCTTTTTTCATAACCTTCACTTTTTCCTCTATTTTGCGACCATACTCAACCATTTCTGTGAACATCCTGATTACCTGTGTTTTGAACTATGCATCTGATAGCTTGGCTATCTCTTTATCATTTGGTTTTTTTTCTCAAGTTTTGACCTGTTCTTTCATTTGGGCCATATTTCTCCCATCCAAGTACTAACCGGGCCCAACCCTGCTTAGCTTCCGAGATCAGACGAGATCGGGCACATTCAGGGTGGTATGGCCATAGACCATTTGGGCCATATTTCTTTGTCTCAGCACACCTGTTATGTAGTAGGGGGAGGAGCCTTAGGTATTTACCAGGGCAGGGTGAGCCACTATGCTGCATCGTTGAGGTGTATGTGAGGGAGGAGTCAGAGAGGGAAAAATGCTACTTGCTAGGCTTTTGCCCTGCTTTCAGTCACTTCCCCTGCCACCCACAGGCAAATTGTGCCTGGGTGGGTGGGTCTGTGTATGTTCTAGGATGCTGTAGGCCCCTCCAATGAACTCTCTTGTGAGACTGGCAGTTTCTCCCACTGCTGCAACCCCTGCAGGTTTTTTCAGTCAGAGGTTTTCAAATTTTCTTTTCCCTGCCCTGGAACCCTGGGTTGCATGTTATGTCTCACTTCCCAGTTGTTCCTCCTGGCTTATCCACACACAAATGTGGGACCACCCAGTTGGCCAGCTGCAGCCATGTCGTGCATCCTCTCTGCTCCAGCTGCCTGTTATCACCCCGCATACCACCCTAGATGAATGTTTCTTCTTTCACTGCTTGGTTGTTGGACTTCCATACAAATTGACTTTCTGGCAGTTCTGCTTGTTTTTTGTTTTTAAATTGGCTGTTATCCTTCTTTTGGTTGTGTGAGGAAGGGAAACATATCTATCTATGCCTCCATCTTGGCTGGACCAAAATTATACATGTATTATTTTACTTTTCCCACTATAACTACTTCCTTGATTTTTTCCCCTCTTACTCTACTAAGTAGAAGGGTTTTCTAAAGTTTTACCCTAGGACCTCTTGCTGCATATAGCTTCTCATAGCAACCACTCTTGTTTTCACTTATTGTCTCTGTATAGATAATTTTCAAACTTTATTGCCAGCCTTTATGCTCTCTCCAAAACTATAGAACATACATAGAACTGTTTTCTTGAAGTATGGCTAATTGAGTTACAGTTATTTAATTATATACACACATCTTTACTTCATTTTTCAAATTTAATTTTTAAAAAATGTAATTACACATACATATTTACCAAATTTCATTGATTTATAACTATCTAGTTATTTATGTCTAAACTTTATGTGGACCATAGCTTATTTATCTTAACATGTATATAGATTAAAACAATTATTTCTATATATTATACACACTAGTATTTGTTGAATAAAGAAACATTATAACAAGGTGTTTGTTAACTTAGTGCAGGTGTGCATTTGTATTCTTTCAAAAACATATAGGAAGGGATCTGAAAGGATCAAACAGAAAAACACTGAAAAAGATGATTGTGAATTCAGTGAGTTTTCAAAAGCTGCCAAAAGTTATTTGGGGTAATGATTCTTAAGCATTTTAATCTATTTTGATTAAGTATAATTCTATTTAATCTTCTCTCACCCTCTTTGACTTTCCTGATTTTTAAAAGGTCTGTCCAAGTTAATAACAAAATGTTGCTGTACTCAAAGTTATGATTTTATGAGCAACAGATGAATTAACTAAAGAATATATGCAAATCATACATAATAAGTTAAAACTATTTAGAAGATTAGAAGACAACGTAAGGTGGTAGGTTTTAAGTTGGTTCTTGTGGGAGATGACATTGATGGATTTTATAAAAGAAAATTTTAAGAAAACAATCAAAAGTATGAAGACATGTAAATAATGATAAAACCTGACCAGTATAGAGAGATGGTGATGAAGTGAAACTATGTAGGAAACTAGATAGATAAATTGAGTACAGAGCTAAGCATAATAAGTGGAGGTATAAGATTTAGTAAGGAACCAGTATGTTTCATGAACAGGGGAAAGAAAATATGATTAAAGCAGTGTTTGAGAGGAATTACACTACAAGAATGTTTATGAGAAAATTATAAAAGAAAATACTAGAAATAAAATGACCAATGAAAAATGACAATATACAAGTGAAGTCATGGAGACCAAAACAAAAAAAATAGACATAATTAATATAATGAGAAAAGTTTTTAATATAAGGGATATTTTTAAGAAAATATTGGTAATCTCTTAACAGATTGGGTGTAGAGGGTGCCAAGGCAATGGAGAGGAGTCCAAGAGAGCTCCTGGGGCACTGGGTTAGTGATATTTTCAAGAGCAAAAAGCAGATTTAGTAAAGTGGCTTATTTGGAGTTAGCATGTAATTGTTCCATTTAACAAACTTTTATTGATAACCAACTGTGCCAAAGTACTCTGTTCGTCATTCTGGAAAGCAATAAAAGTCCAAATAATAACTAATGTTCTCCCTCAAGGAATTTAACTGTCCTGAGAAGAGGTAAAGGCAGATTTTCAAACTCACCAATATATAAAGGAGAGTTTTCAGATTTGGCAAAATCTTCGATGTAGGATATACCCAAAGGCATAATGGGAGTTTCACCAATTCCACGTATCACATTTCCTACTAGTACATACACCCACATTAATGATTTAACTTCCTTCACACACTCTGCATTGAAAGAAAAAGACATCGCATTAGTATTTTGATAGTAAAGTATTAATCTATAAATACAGCTAAAACTAGCTATAGTTTTTGGTAAGCATTTCACCTTGTAAATGATTTGTACTACTATGCCAGCAGTGACTCAGGGGGTCATCCCTCTTGCATTTTCTGAGAGTACTTATGTATGGTGAAGTATAATTGGTACGCTGGAGCCACTTCCTACTTGGTTGGAAGAGTTGTGTGTACTATTCATCAAACTACCAGTGCTTAGTGACGATTCATTTGGTAGTTTAATGGGATTATTCACAGCAGGAAAGTTGGAAAACACTAAAAATCAGAGCTTTTTTTCCCTACAGAAAACCACTTTGCCAACAACTTCAGGACCTGGTTAGCTACTGCATGTGCTATCCCATTTCTATACTAAGTGTAAAGGGAGAAAAATACACAAATATCCCATCTAGAACTGATGCTATGCATAAGATTTAAATGAGTCTCATTAAAGTTTGAATTTCTATAGCTGTAATTACTTTATAGACCCTAAAAACACTTAACTGGGTATTAACCACATTTTTCTCTATAGAGTACTCTGTACTGGAACCACCAAATAAGGTTTGATGAAGAAATTCACCTGAAATATTGGAGCAGCAGGTACTTAATAGAATAACAAAGACTAACCCAAAGGGAACTAAAAGGGAGAAAGATAGGCAAATCTCTGAAGACTTAGCCATTTCTATTCTAAGCAAAAATAGCTGCCAAGGAAGATATTCTGTACAGTCATGATTTTAGGAATGTGAATTACAATTTATTCTCATCTACTATAGACTGGCCAGGTGCTACCCACAGCTGTGAGGGTCTTGAGCACAGCTGGGTCTGAATATTTCTTGTGAAGTCTAGCTCTTGGTCACTTCCAGTCCAGAACACTCTATTTCTGGATATTCATATTTTTTTCTGTAGTGAATACAGTGATTTGTGTCTAGACATGACTGGCAAATTCTAGGCCTACTTGAGAGCAAAACTGAAAATACCAGGTGATCAAAGAGTTAACACACTTTCCTAGGATTCACCAGACTGGGAAGTTTTTGATTTACCTCCTATAATGCAGATTTTTCTTTTAATTAATAATAATAATTTAAAAGAAAACAAGAATAGGACCTAGGTCAGCCTTTGACAGAAGCCAGCTCAAGAAAAGGGCATAGGCTACTGCTGATGTCACCATTTTCCTTTGTTTCCTCAAGGGATTCCTTGGGCTTATAGTTTCTGAGACAGCTTTCTTTGACTCCTTGAAAAACTTTTGGGTCCCTCTGATTCTACGTTGGCAGTGAAATTCCCAGCCTTGGGGACCACTGTAACTTGCACTGATATGAATCCAGCAAAAAGACCAAAATGTCCCCAACACAGGAAGAAAAGCTCTTTTCAGAATTAAATCAACAGAGCCACCTCCAGACCAAGTATCACCAGATTATATAGGTCCCTTAGCATAGGAAAGGCCAGAGGCCCACCTGCTTGCCTGCGTGTTTGCGCCTGGGGTTACAGAACACTAGAGGCAGCACCATTACTGTAAAGCAGTATCTCTGATAAAGAAATAAACACAATTCCTAGTTCTGTAGAAAGCAAAGAGTACATGGAATTATGGCACATCTCCTACTTTCTCTGATCTGCTCTAGAAGATCAGCGATACAATAGATCTTCAAGGACTTTGTTTCTACGTCTATTACCTATCACTGTATAGAATACGTCATCAGTATAAATTCATTCTTCTAAGACATTTTCCTCTGTGGAATTAACTCCACAGTGGCCTTTGGTGGACGTCTTTGACTTATTTTTAAATAACTATTTTAAAGAAAAGACAAAGAAGTCTTAATAAGTATATTCAAATATACAGGAATAACATTCTCTATTATTAGCCATTCTTATTCCCTTCTGGGATCCACTCCAAAAAAAATCTCTGAAATAGAAAACATCATTTGTTCATTTATCTTAGTCACTTAATCAAACCCAGTGACTCATTCAAACCCCTTGGCAGCACGTGTTTAGTTACAAATTCAATGAACAGAAAACAGTAAAATGAAGTCAACAACCTGATGGATCTTCTGTTGGTTTGAAAATCTGGGTTCCATTTTCAGCACACAAGAAACTGTTTGAGGACAAATTGCCTAAAACTGTAGATTCATATTTGTATCTGTATGAACAAAGGGGAAACATAACTATGTTAAGAAAACCTCACATCTGTTAGAATGGTGATCATCAAGAAAACAAGTAATAACAAGTATTACAAAGGTTGTGGAGGAAAAGGAACCCTCATTCCCTGCTGGTGGGAATGGAAACCACACAACCCCTATGGAAAATGGTATAGAGGGTTCTCAAAAACTTAAGAACAGAGTTACCATATGACTGAGCAGTGCCTCTTCAGGGTCTGTGCCTGAAAATTTTGAAAACATTTACTCACAAATAGATGAATAACAATTTTATTTTTGCAACTTTGTACACCTATTACTTCAGTAAAAATTAAAATTAAAGCAAACCCCTAGGTTCATGGCAGCATTAGTCATGGTGGCCAAAACATGGAAAAAAAACAAAAAAATCCTTCAAGGGAGGGCGGCATAAAGAAGATGTGCTACACGCATACAATGCAGGACCACTGGGCCATCAAAAAAAGTTGGGATACTCCCATTTGTGACAGCATGGATGGACCTTGAGCAAATTACATGAAGCAAAATAAATCAGTCAGAAAAAGCTAAGAGCCACATGATTTCACTCATATGTGGAATATAAAACTGAACAGACAGACACCAATATGGTGGTTACCAGAGGAAAGAGGTGCAGAGATGTGGAAGCCGGCTTCAAAGTCCCTAGGGCGAGTATCTCTAACCTAGAGTTCTACACCAGCCAAACTATCGACCAAGTGTGGCGGTAGAGTAAGAATACTGTCAGATGTTCAAGGCATTAAACTTTTTACTTCCTTTAAATGCTTTTTCAAAAACCTATTAGACAATATTTTCCACAAAAAGAAGTAAAAGTAAAAAAAAAGCCGAAGATATGATACCTAGGAAATAAGTAGCTGAATACAGGAAAGAGGCAAAGCAAATTCCCAAGGATAATGGCGAGGGAAAATTCTAAGGAGGCCGCCATGCAGCAGGCCTAGAGAGTTCCCATTTGGACTGTAGATGGAGAGTTGGTGGCAACAAAGGAGATATCTCTAATATAGAATTGAAACCATCTGATATGTATGCATTGCCTATATTGAGAAGATGTTGCCCTATCAGTGGAAAGTTTGATGAGAGATCAAAAGAAAGTGAATCAAATAAAAAATAAGGCAATTATTACATCCAGGGAAAATAAAAAGTTACATGTGACATGAATGATAAAATATTGACACAGCCATACACTTGGAAAGAGTAAATATGATTTTATAGTAGGAAGTCAGTACATATGACGCAACTCTAAAGTATCGAAAATTAAAACAATGAACATTTCGTTAGAAATATGGAGGCGCACCACATCTAAAACAAAAGCAAACTAAGAGGACAGGTAGATCAGGAGCAGAACCATAGAATGAAGATCACGTGGAGAGTTAGCAACAGGGGAGTGGGAGAAGGAGAAGGGGGAAGAAGGTACAGAGAATAAGTAGCATAGACAGTAGATAGAAAATAGGTAGGGGGAGGGCAAGAATAGTAGGGGAAATATAGGATCTAAAGAACTTGAGACACGTGGTCATAAACTAAAGGGGGGAATGGTGGGGGAGGGGTATGCAGGGTGGAGGGGAATGAAGGGGGGAAATAGAACAACTGTAATGGCATAATTAATAAAATATATTTTAAAAAAGAAAAAAGAAAGAAATATGGAGGCGAACAGCAGCAGGAGGAATGAAGAGTTACAAGCCGCTGTCTCCGGAACGCGGTGAGTGGGCAGTATCAAAGTGGCGGGGGACGGCTCTTTTCCATATGAGACTTTCAACATAATTTTATTTTTACAACTTTGTACACCTATCACTTTAGTAAAAATTAAAATCAAATCAAACTTCAGACTGGTCTGTCTCTTGCTGACCTACAACTTAAACAGAACCTCATTGTAATTTAAAGGGTCTAAATAGCCCCAAGAAAGTGGTAATCTCAGATTTTGCAACGTCCTAAAAATCTTTACATCAGACTCAGTTTCATCAAAGAGGTGTCCCAAGTCTCTATATCATAGATTAACAAAATGTATGTGACAGTGTAAGTGGGAGCAGGGTGGCCGAGAGCGTGAAACAGTGGAAAAGAATCTGAGTTTTCTGACTTCCATTGTGGCGTTCTGTGCTGCTGGGAAGCATTGTTCCTAGAAAAGAAATTTCGTGATTCATTTCCTGCAGTTGACAATGGAACCTGAAAGGCCATCAGAGACTGAATGCTTACCGGTCCATGAGGAAATGAGGTAGAGACTCTAAGAAACACCCTAGGCCCATAACCACACATCCGACACCAATCATTATAGGTCTATGCAATTTGGTTCCAAAATAACTCACAAATATAATCAAAAAAAGATTTCCTAGGGAAAAAAATGAGACAAACATAAATACTTTAGTATGTACGTACAATAGCTTAATGAACAGCTTCATTCAATCGTTTGAAATTCCCAGTGTTGAAAGATACATAAACAGATCTCTGTGCAACACTGACCATTAAAAGGGGCACAGAAAGGGAAGCCAGTGGAAGGGAATTGAAGGACAGTTTGGGGAAATTTTAAAGGCGCCATTTGTGACTAGCCTGAGGAAATGGAATGCAAAAGAGGTGTCAGAACAAAGGTTGCTTCTGGTCTCTCCCTCCAGGCCCGCTCCGTGGACTATTGTAATGTTTTCCTATGTTTGAATAAAAAAGCAAAAGTCAGATTCAGATAGACATGTGTGTTATAACTTAAGATTCAAATATAACTTTATATTGGCCAACATAACCAAGTCAGAGATCTATGTTTATTTCTACTTCTTTCCTTAGAAATAAAAAATAGTGGATTCCCCACTTTCCCACTGGTGTTAGAAGTCGGTCTGGATTTGAGGAGTAAATACGTCAGTAAAAAGTTTATTCCCATGTCTTAGAATAAAGATTTAGGATAAAGAAACTAATGGGGCAGGCCCTTGAAAAGTATGGAATAAAGAGCTGAAGGAGTCAAACATACAAGTACATTCTCAAACCGTATATTTTTAATTCAATAATCAATACATATTTACCCTGATCTTACTGTGTATAAGCAACGTCTCTACAATGAGCTTAAGGATTATAAAAATTTTTTTAATTCTTTCTAAAGGAGTTAATCATTTTCTACGTGATGTTGTGTTTTGAAGACTTCTCTTTCCATACCCATTTCTTTCTAGTCTGCCTTGTGCACAGAAGCCACGTCAGCCCCTACGTTATTTTTAATGGCATGTACCACCTCCATGGCCATAGCAGCCCCACCGACTACTCCAGGTTTCTAAACTCCCCATTTTCTGACAACTAGATTTATTGATGATCATTTCTCAGTGTCTCCTAGTGTCAAATCACTGTTGTACACCTGAAACTAATATAACATTGAGTATCAATTTTACTTCAACTGAATAGATAAATAATGTCTCCCATATCAAAGCCATCTATGTTAGAGGTGTTGTCTCCAGAAGGCCTCTGTTTAAAATCTATACCGGTTCTCAAAAGGAGAGGCAATTTATCCTTTTATCGGCATCTGGAAATTACCTCTCCTTATCCCCTCACAACTATTTCACATCTTCATCATTCTCAAGCTGCCTCTCACCACTCACTTTCTATACCTAATATTTTCTCCTTTGTCAAGAAATCTGGGGCAACCCAACATAAAGATGTCTGAGTTTCCCACCTTATGTCCTTACCATGTGCCTTCATTTCAGAGACTGGGGTGTCTCTCTGGATATCCAAGATCAAACAAACCCCCTGGGCACTTCCATTCTCTCCAGAAACTTACTCTGATGACTAACGCCTCTCTCCTGTATTGTAAGCCTCTTTCTCTTCACTGCATGTGTAGTTACAGATATCCCCTAGTTTCTCTCCACCCTGATACTCATCTGTGTTCACAGATTCCACTTCTTTTCCTGCCATTATCTCCTACAGTCACTACTCTCTCTCTCCTTTCTAGCTTCTCAGTCCACTCTTCAGCTGGAAGTGTCCTGGCAAAGATTACCAGTTATCCCCTTACTGTAAAACCCAAGGGACACTTTTTCTATTCTTATCTAACTGGATGTTTCTAATGCTTTCGATACAGTTGGCAATTTTTTTCTTTTGGAAATTTGCACTCCCTTGGCATCTATAATACTATTCTCTTCTGCTTCTCCTGTTAATTGTCTATCCCTTTTCTTGACACTTTCATGGTTTCCTTTCTTCTCCCTATTTCTCAAATATCAGTGCACCTCCAGGATCCATTCTTTGTCTGTTGTACTTATCACCCTTACCCGCTCCCTGAATAGCCCCATCTCTTCTCCAATTTTAACAACCACTTATTTATTTCCTCACTAATCAACAGCTGTAGGCCAGACAGTTTCCCAATGCTTCAGACTCATCTAACTACGATGTGGACACTGCTACCCAAAGGTCTCACCGGTACTACCACAAACAGAACTCATCATTGTCCCCATAGCCACCGCCATCATGTTGTTCTCCTTCCCCTCTTCTCTGTCTTGGCAAGCCTATCCACTCCACGGCCCAGCTTGTGGGGTGAAGGACACCCTCTTTTCCCATCCAACACAGCTAGTCTATCACTAAGTTGTCTGGAATTTAGCTCCTAAATATTTCTGTGGTCCCCTCCTCATTTCTGTGAATACGATCCTGACTCAGGCTCACATAGTTCTCCCTTGGGCTTTGGCATGGCCTCCTCCATTCCTCTCTGCCCTAGTCTGGTTGGCCACCTTCAAATCTCTCCCCTACACAGCCACAAGCATGAAAAGCAAACCTGACATTTGCTTTAAACAGGGGTCTTAACCCGTAGTCAATAAACGCCCAAGGAGTCCATGGATAGAAATAATGGGTTTCATGAACTTGAGTGACAAAAACATTTCATCTTTATTTTCACTGACTTTTAACTAAACATTAGCATCACCTTTGACAATGGAAGTAGGTAACTATAGTAGTATTAATGGTACCTATGATTTTGTCACAGACTGACGCCAATAGAAGTTATAGTTATTTTCATATGATACCACAGTTCTTGTGGATACCTCAAACACTAACAACACTATTTCGAAATCAGTGTTGATGTTGTATTTAATCTGTTGATAAGCACAGATATTACTATATGACAAGTGGTTTTAATATTTTGATAATTGTATTTCAATATAATTGGTTTTCTTTTATCCTGATAGTTTTTATTTTATGCTATTCAAAATAATGTTCTGAGATCATATAGCACCAGATTGCCAAAGAGTCCTCGGCATGGAAATCTTAATAATTTCTGCCGATGGCTTAGTGACTCTGCATCACCTAAAGGAAAAGTAAGTAATGCAGCAAGCACACAAGGCTAACCATAGTCTGTCTGCATCCAATTAAAATTATTCTTTTGCATTTGTGCCCTCCATGAGATCATGAGCTGAGTATGCACAGGATTATATAAAGAGTTATTTCTGACGCCATCACCAGGATCTGGCCTACAGGTGATACAGGGAGCTGAACACTAGGAGACAAGATCAAATACCACTCATTTCAGTTCCGTCTCTCCTCAATCCTGATTTTTCTTTCAGATACTAATTAAATATATTGAAGGAAATTTTTACGTTGAAGGAAATAGAAGCCATAACAAAACTATAAAGGAGTGCCATTCATATTTCTCATGTTCACAGGAAAAGTCTCTCTCTCATTCTTTCTCTCTGTCCTCACATCTTCCCATCATCCACAAAAATCTGAGCCTAAGAATAGATTTCATTCTTCCCTAAATTCAGAGAGATGTGAGAGCAGTTTCTTCCTCCCCTGAACTCAGAAAGAATTGTCAAGCTCCCAGAAACAACAGGAGGAGGAAAGTATTTGTTTTTTCCCTTTGGAAAACAGATTCATTTGTTTCCTATTATGATTATATCTTCTAAGTATGAAGACAGAGCCCTGAAGAGTTATCAGATGACACATTAAATGTAAATATTCTAAATACTCAGCTACTTACACTAGATAACCAAAAAACTATTGGAGTAAAATGCCCAGTGGTGGGATATGTGACAGTATTTAGGTGTTATTCAGAGTAATATTTAAATGAATTATTTCTAAGCATATTGCAAAATTAGCTAGGATATTCAATCTGTTTCAGAAAATATGCTATTCAGTTAGATTAAATGGCCTAAAGCAACAAATAAGGAGAATAACAATCAGACTAGCTCTATAGATAAAATATAAAAGAAATACAGGAATAATTCATTACCGATCTCAAAGCTCCCATTAATAAATCCAACTAGCGATGTCGGGATGTTGAATTGTCTCTCTATTTGTGTAAGCATAGAGTTCATATAAGATCCAGATAATGTTTTGGATATAAACGCACATGTTATTGCCAGTAGAAATATCTAAGGAGAAATGAATATAAGAAAACATGAATTTTTTTCATTCATTTTATTTTATTGTTGTTCAAGTACAGTTGACTGCCAGCTGTTGACAGAATATATTCTACCACAAGAATGATTGTCTCCAACTTAAGTCACCCTTGAATTTGCAAGAAACTTTTAATGCGGTTTGCTTTTTTAGTCTTTCATACCATGATCTGTCTTTGAAAATTCAAAGTGGGACTGATTGATTAGTGATACTGAATTTAGTATACAGTTGTATTCTCATTATTTTATAGAATCAACTTGTACATACATAGAAATAATTAGTTGTTTAAAATAAGATATAGCTAATGATTTAAAAAGAACTTCAGCACTACAGTGTTATCTGTAGTACAAAAGAATATATATATGTTAATGACAAAAGTAACGTAACATTATAGAAAAACATAATTTCTGTTGCAAATTTACTCAAGGTCTTTCTTATTCAAAATAGTATGCAAATTATACATTAGATTATTCACTGCCAGTTAATTTATTTAAAGCAATATTTTAATTGCAAACTATTATAAGAATGTTTCTAAACAGAACAGGTACTTGCTATAATAAAGAAATATAAATATAATAAACTTTAATATATTGAATCACAGTTCCAAAGAGCAGTCAGGTTGGTACAATCTGTAACAAAAATAAAGGACAACTTAACAAATAAAACCATCGTGATCACCAAGAGCTAGCATGGTTTCACTAAAAATCTGAGAAGTGAAAATTTTGATAGTTTTATTAAATTGGCATGAAAAAGACTTAGATTTCAGGAAAAGATTTGAAAAAGGAGCATTATTACTGGACAACAGTAAAGTTATGTAGATTAATTACTCCTTCAACATCAACACATGAGGGATAAAGAGATTAGGTCAACCTGAATGGTTATCTCCAATCTTATGCCAGAGCTGGGTTTTTTTTGGCCCTATTTAAAGATATTTCCTGGTGACACTTAGACCAGTCAATCTACACCAGTACACACAATTCATAAAATCTTAACCCTCTATCTTCCACACTCCCAATCTTGAACCGACCCCATAATTTATATTGCACCTTGTGCATTTTCTTCAAGATTATTCACGGTCTTCTCTTTCTCAGGCTCCAATCCATCCATTTGCTTTTTATGACCAAACTTCACCTTCAAACTTACCTCCATCCTTGCCCTTCTAATTTTCCTGCCATCTTAGAAGAATAGTTGCTCTTTCTCTTGTACAATATAATCCCCCCGCCCATGTTTTTGAATCCATTCTTCCCATTTCTGAGATCCTGATTCATCAGATACTGCCTTTCTCCTCTATTTTCAGCACCACATGATTTACTGCCTCTGTCCTCACTAGCTTATTAATATGTTCAAGGTATATCTACACATATATTTACAGCTCCTCACCTGTGATGGTAGCTACTACAGCTACCATCAAGATGTTTGGGAAAAGTCTAGACTCATTGCCTAGACTATTTAAACTTTTATTCATGCTTTATTCTCCTATAGTCTTGTCTCTACTGAAGCTACTCCATAAAAGGTCATAAACAACTTTCTGATTTCCAGATTCTTCCTGTCAGTTTACTTGATATCTCTGAGTCATTTGACTTCACTAATCTCTCTTTTATTCCTCAAATTCCCCCCATGCATATCTATATCTCCTCCTACCTGCTAGACTCTATCCAGTCATATCTTTTTGTGGCTAAAGCCTTCAGGTTTTTGTCTCTGTACCCTGTATTCTTTTTTGCTATATATCCTCCTCTGGGAAATCTCACTTATTCCCATGGCTTTTATTGTTACCCATATGTTAAAATATCTCAAATGTATGCACAATTTAACTGAGATAATTACAATCATATTTTACTTTCCAATAGTCTTGTCCACCTCTTATCTCAGTTGCACTTGTCACCACAAATGATTTTGAGCTTAGTAAATATATCATGGATAAATTAATAAGATTTATTGTTAGAGTAATTTTACTACTTAAAACTTTCAAGTGACTTCCAATAAATAAAAAAATCCAACTATTTAGAGGGTAAACAATGCCTTATCTATGAGGTTTGTCCAGTAAAAGTGCAGCCATTGTTAATATAATAAGAACAGTTTGCATGGCATCGATGTAACTTGGCAACCAAGGAGAGTGGACTGGAATGTGCATGTGTGAACAATGACAACTTTACTGTACTAGTCAGTGGGAGCTATAGATGCTGTTGAGTGAGCATGTGTACTGTGTGGCTGTCGCATTCAAAATGACAGCGAGTAGAGCAACCAATATGCATCATATTTTGCATTAAGCTTGAACATTCCTCCATGAAAACTATTTGGATGACTCAAAAGGCCACAGCTATAGGCAACTGGTGATTGGCAGCTTGATCATGACAACATGCCCACTCTTGCATGATGTTTTGTGCAGAGTTTTTTGGTGAATCATCAAGTCACCCCCTTCCAGCCCATATTTGGTGCCTTATGACTTCCGAATGTTCCTAAAGCTAAAGTCACCTTTGAAAGGGAAGAGATTTCAGATGATCAATGTTATTCAGGAAAATACAATGGAGCAGCTGATGGCCATGTGGAGAACTGCGAGAGGCCCCAAGGTGCCTATTTTGAAGGGGACCAAGGTGTCATTATCCTACATACAATGTTTCTTGTATTTTGTATCTTCTTCAATAAATGCCTCTATTTTTCATATCATATGGCTGGATATCTTCTGGACAGACTTTGTATATCTCAGTATCAGATCCTGCTGCTTGTCCCTAGACATCATGTTCTACGTAGAGTCCCTAACATTCACCACGCCATTTTATATCCCAGTGCCTTTTACAGGATAGCCTCCATCTTGTGATGTTTTCCTTTTCCTTGTGATTCTGATAAATACACACTCCATTTTTAAAATGCAACTCTATCATCACTTGTATTGTGGAACCTTCCTTTTCTCTCTGCTCCCCAGGTAGCCTTGATCACTCATCTTCCCAACATCCTCTGTGTCTACTTCTATCCCCGCCCTTATGTGTTTGGAAGCCTACAATGTCCTCCCTCACTATATTGTTAGCAATTCAAAGATTAAAAACATACATAATTTACCTTTGTATCTATTATTTACCTTTACATCCTTTGTGTTTAGTAAGTGCCTGATGAATTGCAGGCACCCAATGCAAGATAATGCATTAATAGCATAATAACTATTCAAAAACATCTTGAAAAACTGGTTAGAACTGAAAGTAAGATGACGTAATATGAGATGGAATAGTACTACATACACTTAAGGGAAGAGTCAGCTGTATTATGTCTGCAGAAATATGAATAGAACATTATGTGAAAAAGACCTGAGAAATTTAAATTTCAAGCTCAATATGAATCGAACTATTAATGGCTAACAAGATAATATGGCTATATCTCTAGTTATTTATCCTTTTCTAGTGAAACCATTTGTAGAAACTTTGTTTCTCTTCACATAGATTTTTGCAGAGCATATTATTGAGAGCAAACAGTTTTCACATGGTTTTGTAATTCAGATTTTGTATTTAAAAACAAAGTTTACCAAATAAAGTACAGATCATGTTTGGTAGAGCAATTTATTTATTTAATGTTTTAAGAAAGGAAACTAAATGAATCATGTTCCCAATGATTTTTTTCATAAAACATTCAGATAGAAGATCTAAACTATTAAATTTTATTTACAGAGTGAAGGCAACTAGTGGTTATCCTGACTTATGTCTTATGCAAAATAACCTCTATATTTATAAATCTAGTCCTACTAGTTTTTTTAAACAATAATGCTCCAGAATTTGAAGAAAATATAGAGAACAGTCTTTGATGTTTTCTAAAGAATGTTTAAGATTTTATTTATTTATTTTCAGAGAGAAGGGAAGGGAAGGAGAAAGAGAGGGATAGAAACATGTATGTAAGAGAAAAACATTGATCATTTATCTCTTGTATGCACCCCACCTGGGGACTGAACCTGCAACCTCGACATGTTCCCTGACCAGGGATGGAACCAGCAACCTCTTACTTTGCAGGATGATGCACAACCCAACCATCCGAGCCACACAGGTCAGGGCTCCTTCAAAAGAATTTTGCTTAATGAGCCTATTTAAAGTTCACAGCAAAAAAAGTCAGAGAAAGACAAATATCATACAATTTCATTTATATGTAGAATCTAATGAACACAACAAACAAAACAGAAAAAGGCTCATAGATACAGAGAGCAGACTGACAGCTGTCAGAAGGGGTTGGTGTTGCAGGGCTGGGTGAAAAAGGTAAAGGGATTCAGCCAAAAAAAATCCATGGAGACAGGCAACAATATGGTGGTTACCAGAGGGGAAGGGGGGTAGGGGCGGGTAAAGGGTAAAGGGGTATAAACGATGATGAAAGGAGAATAGACTTTGGCTGGTAAAAACACAATACAATATAGAGATGATGTACTATGGAATTGTACACTGGAAACCTATTTTATTAACCAATGTAATTCTGAAAAATTTGGTAACTATATAAAATAAATAAATGTACAATATTGATTTCTTCAGATTTAACATAATCAAGCCAATGTAAGAAGAACACATTTTAAATGATTGTAAATTGTTATTCACAGTTTGAAAAATACATTATTGTTATACACACACACATCTGATTATTAAGCAACTGCCTCTCAATTTTTACCTGATAAACCGATACTGCAATATTTTGCCATAGCATTCAGAACAATGTCTCATCTTGCCAAACTTCAAGTAATCAGAAATTAAAGACAAACTGTTTATCAATAACATCTTGACATGACTTCAATCAACATTAATTAGCTATTAGTAATATATAGCTAATTAATTAGCTATTAATAATACATAGAAATGAAGATCACATGGAGGGGTAGCAACAGGGGAGTGGGAGAAGAAGAAGGTACAGAAAATAAGTAGCATAGACAGCAGATAGAAAATAGATGGGGGAGGGCAAGAATAGTATGGGAAATATAGAATCTAAAGAACTTGAGACACGTGGTCATAAACTAAAGGGGGGATGGTGGAGAAGGGGTGTGGAGGGTAGAGGGGAATGAAGGGGGAATAGGACAACTGTAATGGCATAATCGATCAAATATTTTTAAATAATAATAATATATAGCTAATATTTAAATTTTTACAATGTTAGAGTCATTATTTCAAGCATGTAAAAAGAAAAATCCTGTGAGATAAGAGTATTTTATTGCTCTGTTCAGATGAGAAAACTTTTGCATAAAGAGGTTAAACAACTTGTCTAAGTTTGAAACGAGTAAGCAGTTGAATTCAGATAGGAACCCAGGGAGCCTGGGACTCAATCCTTATCTTTTAACCACTCAATTTCAGGAGAAGGACATGAGAATTGAGGGATGATTTAAGGGAAAATTTTAAAAATATAATGAAAGTGGAAAAAAGTAGTTTTCCAGATCTGTATCATAATTCCACAGTTTCATATACATATGTAGAAATTCCCCCACAGAGGTATAAAGAGGAAACAAACTATTGATAAGAGAGAAAATTGGTGGCAGTGTCTTAGTTTAGAAACCGTTTGCAGGCACTAGCTATGGAAGAATCAAGATAAATATCTAGATCCCTTGGTTTAAAATAAATTCAAATTTTGTGTGAAGCAAATTCTTTTTGCGTTTTTCCTTCAAACAGTTAAGATATCAGAAACAACTGGCAAAGTGGGCATTTTTCTTTTAGAGAATGGCTGGCGTGTTGCCAGAGCTTGAAGTAAATATTTGTTTTACTGGGTCGCGTAGAGTAATCGCTGCATATAGATCAACAAAGCATTTCTGTCTAAGGAATCTTTTTCCTGGGAGAGATCCCCACACACCTCCGGACCAGAAGCCCCTGAAGGATGGGCATTTCATTGGTCTTTAGTCCATGGAAATAAGTCTTGCTGTAATATAATGTGTGTCTGAAAATTTTAAAGACTTCATCTTCCTTGTAAGTCCTTCAAAATCATCTCTGATTAAATTGCCTTAATCAATAACCCTATTTAGATATTCTCAGTCACAAAACAGACTTAATTAAAGCAAGAAATTATCACCATATCAGATAGTAGGACACTAATATTAGATCACTTCATGAACATACCAACTTTATAACACCTAAGTTATGAAAAATACAGTACATATACATACATCCACACCAAAAAGTGCCATACCTTAAACTTGGAAAGACCTCTTATTCTATGGGTTTCAATTTTCTCAGTTTCTCCCATGTTGCTCTTCTGAGTGTTCCAAAATATTTATGATTTAAGTCTTGATGTTTCTTAGTTCTATTGTTTTGAGAAAAAAAATATATTAAATTACTGACAAAATCAAAAGTCATCATTCTTCTGAAGAAAATACTGAATTTGAATAACGTGACCAGAATCCACTGTATTACAAAAATTCCTGAAAAGCTTTTAATTCAGGTCTAGAAAATAATGATGTTAAAGAAGATTTAGTTGTTAATTTTCCACTAAAAAAGGTTACCTTGAATAACAAGTTTCTCATTAGTGAGATTAAAGATAGAATCATTTGTTATGGTCCTTTTACAAAAATAACAGCCATGTAGTTAAAACAAGACTTCATTTCATTAGCCAAAACAAACAGAACCAAAGTATACTTTTTTGGACTTACATGAAAATACTTCTTCTAAGAACATTCAAACTTTGATTTGTGTTTGTGCAAAAAATCTGCTTCAGCAAGGCTGAAGTTCAAAAATATCTGTTTGGCCAGGCTCCCTCTTCAAGTTCTTTGCATTCCAGTACTTCCCTGGAGTTCCAAGCAGGGAAAGACTTTCTGGAGCACTGCTGATTCATGGAGACCTGGGGAGACATGGAATTTTAATTATGGAAATAGCCTATGTAAAAACAACAGGTAAGTCTATGATCCAGAAAAGGACCCTACAGTTGCACGTTAAGATATAAGGTTTAGGAAAAGACCAAGCATATTAGTGCAGACCTATATGTCTACATGTGTAATAAATACAGATATATATATGTGTGTGTATATATATCAATTATATAGTCACACATTTTTATATGTAAAACAAAAAGATTACTTCAACTCTATTAAACTTTGCTAACACCTTTTTAAAGTTTTGTCTGTTCTCATGTCTTGAAAATAGGACAAATTTTGTGCCAGAGCCAATGTGTTTCACTATGACAATATTATTCTAGCAAATCTACTTCAAGTTGAGAGCATAACATTTTAGCAGTATCTCCAGAGTTAATTTACTAAAATTCTCTGAACAATATCCATTTTACAAGTGAAACTGAATGCACTAATTTTTTAAAACCTTACTGCTCTCTCTCTGTACATTTACTGAATCCCACTCCCCTACATACCTTCAGGCAATACCCACTTCACCCATTCTCTCATGAGTACAACTATATATTGAAATTCTATGGTGTGCCAGTCACTGTGCCAAGCACAGGGCTTCAGAAATAAACAAGCTGTCCTATAGACAATATAAACTAATTTGAGAAGTGTAAGGCTCTGTGGAAAGTACTTAATCCCAGATTCCAAGGAAACTCTATTTATATTGGGGAAGGTAAAACTTTTAAATAAAATACACTGGAGTAGAACTAAACAGTGTATGATCAAACACAAAAATTTTGGTATATAAGAGGTAAAAAAAATCCATTCATTATTAGAAACACTCTTGGCAATTCTAAATGGTCATACAGATGAACTCATGTTAAAATCTCCACATAAAATGCAAATTGCCTTAACTACAGTTCAAGTCCAAGATACTAGTTTTGGGGGAAAAACCAATAAAATAGGATAATTTTTCAAATGAATGTAAACTTCTTTTCTTTTGTCTTCATCTGTAATATTTATCCTTTTATTGTATACAAACCTTTCGACCTCCCTCACATCTTCCTTCTCATGATTTTAGAGCTGAAATCTCACTCCCTTTCATTTTTTCCTTCTATCTTTCCTCGCCAATATCTGAGCCCAATATACTCACCCAGTCAAACAATAAGACAGGAAGAGCACTTCTTCATCTTCCATGTCAGAGTTCTCTTCGCTCTTTTTAATGGCTAAACATGACTCTTCTAAATGCCTAATTTTTCCCTATCTGACCAGGGGAGAGAAGAAATGGAGGTAGAGATACAATATCACCACATGGGGAGATTCTGTAGTTCCTTTTAAGCATCAGGACACTATGGAACCATCTGAGGCACATTTTATCAGCATACCTCATGGGTTTGTTTCAACATATGTTTACTTGCGCCCTGACCATTGTGGTTCAGTTGTTTGGAGCGTCACGAGAGCACATACCCAGGTTGTGGGTCCTATCCCTGCTCACGGGTACTGATCCATGCTTCTCTCTCTCCCTCTCTCTTTCTCTCTCTCCTCCCTCCCCCTTTAAGAGCAATGACAAAATGTCCTTGAGCAGAAAAAAATGTTTATATTCTTGAGAGATGTCTTGTAAAGAAATGTTTTGATTGGAATAACAGGTAGTGTTTGAAACAAAGCACTGGGAAAGAATTAAATGTGGTTTAATTAACATTTAACATTCTCTAAACTGCCAACTTATACAGTGAAAACATTTTAGCTTGTCAGACACATGTTAAAATTTTTAATGGAGAAAAAATGAATAAATTAATGAATAAAATCTATTATGTTTCATAAAATTCATGATACCCAATAGCTAATGTCACAATCGCTTTGAATATTTTGGCCCCACATCAGGGAAAGTGCACATTGTTTCCTCATCTCCTTGCACAGTGCAAGAGCCAGCCAAGTGAACAATCCTCTTTTGTTAGCAAAGGGTTGTTTACATGGCAACCTCTGCTCCTGGGACCACGGTGTCACAGAAAATCCTCATCAATCATCACTGCTAATGGAAATGACTTGCTGAAACTTTATTAAGAGGAGAAGCATTTGATTTCTCCAACTCCTCAGCATTCAAAGGGGCATGAATAATTCTTCAGTACACATTCTCACAAAAATATGGTCACATTTCTTCCATGTCTACTGGTCACAACTTTGGGTTTTTTGTTTTATTTTTAAAAAATTGTAGCCAAAACACATTACAGAATTGTTCACTGTGTGCTCATTTTTGAATAACAGGTCTCTAGAACTTTTTCATCTCGCGTGACTAGAACTCAACTGAACAGCAAGACTTAGGTTTTTTACAGCCCTTGGTTGCCAGCCTTAACATGTCTCAATCACAAGAGAATACATTTTTCACAAACATATATACCACCTTGTTTGTATTCTTTCATCAGTGTTAAGTATACAGACATAGTTTTTTATTGCTATAAATCACCTGGGAAATGCATACACTTAATTTAATACTATAGTATTGAATTAGTAAAATAAAGTCCTTACATTATCATGGCAAAACTAGTAGTATATACATGAAGACTCAGAAGAACATCCTTTCCCTGTGGAAAAAAAGGGAGAGAGAGTCATAACAGCAACTATCTTAAGAAAAGTGGTTATTCGCAGAAACTTCAAATGGTTCCTGGCTGTTGAAGAAGAGGACATCCTCTTGGGAGTATCCAGCTGCAATAATTCAACCAATCTCAAACCAAGTAAGCATGTGCCAAGGGAGCACATGTAGAATCAACAGTGACTCTTTGTCTAATGCCTGCCAAATTATTTTAATTCTCTTAATGCATTTTTACTAGAAATAAAGAATAAGATATTAGATTCTGCAAATAAGCCTTACAAGTACAAGTATTATTTTACTTCCAATGTTCATAGGAGGTACCAGGAATACATCACTATAAGCAAAACTAAAGGAGAATCTTAACTGAGCCATAGAACCATGCATGTAGTTTCTCCATGCAAACTAAAGACCGAAACACACAGAAGCACAAGCAAAAGTTTTCATCGGCAATCCAGCGATAACTATACCCACTCTGTTACTTTAGATAACGCACTGTATGACTCTGGTAATATGTGGTGGATCCTGGCCTGCAGGATCTGTGTATATTGGGGCTGCTAGAGAACAAATACACACAGACTACAGAAGTCCTATGGAGAAAAAGGGATGGCATGGCCACTCTCTGAGAGAGAGAGGGCAAGAGGGACAGAGAGCCCCAGTCCCTGCCTGGACAGGCTTTTATTGCTTTTCTGAGTACATTACATGGAGGGTAGTCCTCATTTACTATGCACAGGTTCACTGCAGGGGATTACCTTTTATAGGTAACAAAGGGAAGAATGTTGCTAATTATTTCAAAGAGAAGGATGTTGCAGATCAGGGGGGAAAGTGGTGGAACTTATCACACTCTACACTTGAGGTTCTACACATTCTTAAGTATATTTAAGTGTTCAATGTCCTGCAGCTGTTGATGTCATTCTAGCTGCAATTTATCAATTTGTCCTTTTAAATTGGTAGAAAAAGTCCCTCTTAGGTTTAGCTCAGACTTGAGGAAGTTACAGTAAGCACTGGCTGCCTCAATTCAGGGTGAGGGAGTTTTAGCAAAAGCAAGTCTCATAGTAGTCTAGGTACAATGCAGGCATGATTTCCCATGGGAAAACCTCTCTGTGGGCATGGTCCTGCATGCCACTTGCTCCCCACTGGTTTTCCATGTGCATGCTGAGCTACATTTCCACACCATACAAAGCAGTTTCCTACATTTCCCCCTTTGTTTTTAGTTAGGACCACTATAGATCCCATAAGGCCTGCTATTTGCTGGTCTCTCACACAACCCTGGGAAAATAAATTGCAAATGCAGCAAAGTACACAGAGCATTATTATAATCAGTAAGCAACCAGGTGGCTCCAAGATCCACGTTCTTAAGTTCATTTAAGTGTTCAATGCCCTGCAGCTGTTGATGTCATTCTAGCTGCAATTTATCAATTTGTCCTTTTAAATTGGTAGAAAAAGTCCCTCTTAGGTCATGTTGAATATTGCTCCAGGAGTACTGGATGGAATCACACTTCAGCTTGGAGAATCCAGGATCAGAAGAGTCTAATAGGGTGGAAGTAGGTCGCTGCCAGGAAAGCCTTTTCTGATATGGCTATACCCTCATCAGCGGCTCCAAAGGTCCTTCTGGAGAAAATACAAACATATTCTCTTCCTCAAGTTAATAGGTCAACTGGGCCTTCCCATTTGCCTTCCCCTAAGGGGTCTTCGTATAAGACCAAGTGGTGTGGGACTGCAGGCCTGTTTTGCACAAGGTGTTTGTCTATGGGTTACTTTAAACTATCATCACAATTCAAAAATTGTATGTATATATTGCCAGTATGGTTAAATTCCTGAGGGATATTTCCTGAATATATCCCAGGCCACTGTTAATCTCCATTTCTTGTGAACGGCCTCAGCGGCAGGAGGCCTCAAGCTCTAACATTCTTTGCTGATTCCCCAGGGAGGGGAGGGGCTCACAGAGCACCTGAGTGAGTGTCTGCTGGGAAAGACAGGCCCCTGCTGTTTCTGCAAGCTTCAACGAGTGTGAGCAGCGAGTTAATTACTTTATTGTTCTCAGGACCTGGTAGTTCCTGGGTCTAGAATGTGCAGTGTTTCGAAGACTTAGATGCTTACTATTCCTCTTATTTTCTTTCCACTTCCACTTTCTCAATTTCTTCCTTACAGACTCTCTATGACTTGACCTTTCTAGAACATACATAATCCACATAACATTCCAAAATAAGCATAAGTCTTGTAAAACTTAAGGTTGATTAGGTTGCCAAACGTTTCACTTAAGGAGTATATTATGAAATGAATAGCCCAGGGAGCCCTGGCTGGAATTCCTTTTCCTGCTGCTTGCACCAGGTCTAAGTCTGCTGCTAGGCACCTGCAGAGGTGAGGCGCTGTGCGAACTGAGGCCCTGGGTGCTGACCTGCTGGTCGCAACTCTGCCAGCGTGTCTGGGACTGACCCAGTGCTGGTCGCAGGGAAAGGTTTCTTCTCCCTGTGCAACGGGGAGAAGGGGAGGCGAGGCAAACAAATCCCTCCCTTCTGCACCACTGCTCTTCTGGGAGGAGACCCGGCCCCGACTCAATGGGAGCGTGCCCCTGTCGGTGGCTGTACCGGTTGGGGCAGTGAGGCTCACCGCAGCCGAGAAGGGCCTAGCTAGCGCGCATTGGTCCCTTCTCTTCCATACTTCCAAATCTAAGGATCCCTTATCTGGGAGACATTCAGCAGCCCTCAAAAAGCTGCTGAATTAGCAGAAAACATTGCTCCTGTTCCTTAGAGAGCCCATTTCCCATGGTAGAAGATTCGTAGAAACCTTTAAACAAAAATTTTAACAAAAAGAACCTTTTCTGAAGTTTTCTCCTCCTGTCGCCAGTGCGGCAATTATAAACACAGTTTCAACTTTGCTTTCTCTCCCTCTGCAGCTTTAAATCCTACTTCTTGCTAGTGAGGGGAGTGTAGTGGGTCAAATGTACTGTTGGTGAAGCAGGGAGAGAGGTATTGGACCTTCCAAGTACCCTAGCCCTGCTGATGGGTTTCCGGTCCTCCCCGAGCATTTAGGACTGCGAGGGCGGGGCTCGAAGCCCTAGGTGACCCACCTTTATATCGCGATTTCCCGGAGAGCCAGAAGTTAGATTAGGTGGTGTTGGAGGTCCACGTAAAGCCCCTGTACGACTCAGGAATTGATCCCAGACACTGGGCAAGGTTCCGACTCACACTCGATCTCTCCAGCCGTGGAAGTGCCCTTTGTCTTCGGAGCTTGGCAAATGCCAAGAACTCTCATTCAAAGCCTGTGACTGACACTAAATTCTTCCAGGAAGCGACTTTTGGAGTCTACTCCAAACTGAAACACTCGTTCACTGTCCGCTTTTCATTACACAGGTAGACGGAGGGAAAAGGCAAAATCGAAAGGACCTCAAGAGGAGGCTCGAAAGAATTTGCTGAGATGTTTCTAAAATATCCCTGTAACTAGTTGCTGTTTTTAAAGCTGATCAAAGAAAAAGTCTTTGCTCTTTCTCCCAAGCCTAGACCTAGTTAGGGGTCGTGCCATGGGGATGGGCTTGTGAGTGTTCATAGTGTGCCTCTCCTTGCCTGGACTTTTGCCTGTGGCTGGTGGGAAACCCAGTGTTCTAATCCGGGCCACATACCAGCTAATCCTCCCATGGGTGGTTTCCAGCGGTGAGCACCCCTGTGGTTTTAATGGCTCAACCCATGCCTGCGAAATTGCAGCAGACGTTTGGGAGAGAGAGCAAGGCTCCTACTTACTAAAGAAGGTACAGATGTAAAGCGGTGGCAAGAAATGGTGACCTCAGAGGAAATCCCTTTTTCTTTGAAATCCAGCACACCCTGTGGCCTTCCCGAACAGCACTTGATGTCATCGGCCCTTACCTGAGCTTACGTGCACACTCCAACCAAGTTGGTGCTGCAGCTGGCGTAACCCTGGTCCCTGTTCCTGGGTGACGGATGTGGCGGATCCTGGTCTGGAGGATCTGTGTATATTGGGGCTGCTAGAGAACAAATACACACAGACTACAGAAGTCCTATGGAGAAAAAGGGATGGCATGGCCACTCTCTGAGAGAGAGAGGGCAAGAGGGACAGAGCCCCAGTCCCTGCCTGGACAGGCTTTTATTGCTTTTCTGAGTACATTACATGGAGGGTAGTCCTCATTTACTATGCACTGGTTCACTGCAGGGGATTACCTTTTATAGGTAACAAAGGGAAGAATATTGCTAATCATTTCAAAGAGAAGAATGTTGCAGATCAGGGGGGAAAGTGGTGGAACTGGTCACACTCCATACTTGGGAGGTTTAGCTCAGATTTTAGGAAGTTACAGTAAGCACTGGATGCCTCAATTCAGGGTGAGGGATTTTTAGCAAAAGCAAATCTCATAGCAGTCTAGGTACAATGCAGGCGTGATTTCCTGTGGGAAAACCTCTCTGTGGGCATGGTCCTGCATGCCACTCGCTCCCCACTGGTGTTCCATGTGAGTGCTGAGCTACATTTCCACACCATACAAAGCATTTCCCTACAGTAATAGACCAAGACATGAAAAAGTCAAGCTGAAACTCAACCTCCCAAATCTTTAGAATTGGATATGGATATCATCCATGTTACAGCCTATGCCAAGTAGTACTAGAGAATGATCAGATAGATAATTATGGGAGTAGCCAATGTTTTTTACACAGGCAATTACAACTGTTTTATTTCTTTAAATTTTATCTCATTTCTTTCTCTTCCTTATGACTGTAGACACATAGTTTTGGGAGGAAAAACATGTTCCTTTATTTATATACAGCAAGTTAAATACTGAACTGTTTCTTTTCCTCATAGGGGAAAGAGTTTATCTGTTTATAAAGTTCCCAAAATAACTGAAAATTCAAAATGTTAATTGTCCACATTAATGGATATAGGAAGGCAGCTAGATACAGCAAAAATGTCAGACCTTGAAGCCTAATCAGCTTGGGTTTAGCTGTACTTTAGTTTTGAGTTGTTTGAACGCATTGAACCTTTTTAAAAAAATTAAAATCAATAGTACTAGAATCTTTATGCTTATCTTGCAAGATCAGTATAAAGATTGAGTTATGAGGTCTGTCCAGAAAAAGTCTAGCCATTGTTATTATAACAAGAATGGTTTGCACATTATATAACCAGGCAGCCAAGGAGAGTGGACTGGAATGTGCAAGCATGAACAATAATGACTTCACTTTACTAGTCAGTGGGGGTGGTAGACGCCATTAAGTGAGCATGTGTACTGTGTGGCTGTTGCAATCAAAATTACTGAGCAGGTGGAGCAACCAATATGCATCATATTTTGCATTAAGCCTGAACATTTCTCCTAGAAAATATTCTCATGAATCAGAAGGCCACAGCTATGGGCAATTGGTGGTTGGCAGCCTCATCACAACAATACGCCTTTCATGCATTATGTCTTACACAGAGTTTTTTGGCAAAACATCAAATCACCCAGGTGACTCAGTCCCCCTAGAGCCCATATTTGGAGCCCTGAGACTTCTAGCTTTTCCCAAAACTAAAATCACCATTGAAAAGAGATTCCAGACCATCAAGGAGATTCAGGTAAGTTGACAGGGCAGCTGATGGCAATTGGGAGAAATGTGTGAGGTACCAAGGTGCCCATTTTGAAGGGGACTGAGAGGCATCAATTTCCTATGTATAATGTATCTTGTAACTTCTTCAATAAACGTGCCTATTTTTCATAGTACATGGTTGGATAGCTTCTGGGAAAACCTCATATACTGCACTGCTGCTAGAATAAAATAGTCACTCTGTAAATGGCAGTGGTAATTCCTTTCATTCCACAAATATGTATTAAGGCTCTACTCCATTCCAAGCACAGTAGTTGGAACTAAGAAGGAAAACGGGGAGAGATTCATAGATGGAGAGCAGGATGTCAGCTAGTAGAGGGGAAGTTAGCAGGTGGAGGGATTGAGCAAAAGGGAGAAATGCCTCATGGATATGGACAGCATGGAGAAGGGAGTGTAAGGAGGCTAAAAGGTAATGTAAAAATGCAATAAAAATTTTAAAAACCAAAGATGAATAACACAAGCTATTGGGTTATTCATAGCTTGGGTTATTTATAGACATACAGTTAAATGATTATAACGGCTAGTTAGTGCCATAATACAGACAATTTGAGCCAAGTAATAGAAAGAGGTAAGTAATGAAAACTGTTTAGATATTCATTTAGAATATCATTTGGACACAGCATAGTAGTTTAAGTATTTGGGGTTTGTACTAGTACTAGTTGTGCCAAACTAGGCACAGTTTGAAAGCTTGTTTTTAAACTAGTCCTGCGATGTTTAGACAAGTCGCCTATCTATCCAGACAATGAAGATAGTCTCTATCTTTATATCAGACAAGAAAAGAGACAGGAAAAAAAGAACCTGTGACAAGTAGTTCAAGAGAGGATTTTAACATTTTAGGGACCTAATTACAAAAGTATCCAAAGAATTTAAAAAACCAAACTGGGCAGGCAGTGGACAGCCCAGAGATTTACATACACTAGTGGGAAGGCACTCCCAGTCCTAAGAGTGTGTCAGAAAGGAACATGGACATACTTCCACTGGTTGCCAGAGGCGTTGCTTAGAGTAGAGAAGGGAGATGCCCAGGCTCTCCCCTCCCTACAACCAGTTTTCACACCAACACCGCCCATTACGACTCTAACAGGAAATCAGATGCAAGGGAGCCTGGAGAAGTTACTCCTCTAAGACAGGCCCCCAGGACACAGAAAGGATCAGAGGATAAGAATGAATGCAGGTCGGACCAGAAAAACAAATGAGGAGCACAACTTCCGTATAATCAGCTGGAGTAAAGTTAGACAAGATTATATATGATAAATAGGTAATGTGATGCTAACACACAATCAACACTCAGAGAAGGGTAGCTATTTATATTATAGTACACTTTCAACCCTTAATGCTGTTTTTATTCTCAGTAGGAGAGGATTCAGGAGATTTAACTACCATATTTTTTCAGACTATAAGATGCACTCCCCTCACCCCACCCCAAATTTGGGAGGAATAATAGTTGTTAATGCTGCTGTTGAGTTCTGTTTACATTTACATTGGTAAAATATTATGTTATTTGTGTTATTAAACATTTTACCACATATTTTACTTCAATTTTTTTCTATTTTGCTCTAAAACCTGGGTGCATCTTATGTTCTGAAAAACACGGGTTCGCTGCATAATCGGCCAGCTCTCGACATTACATCTGTGGATACTGCGATCTCTACCCGATACCAAATAAAATGTGAGATTTTGTCATCAAATCAAGTAATTTTTAATTTTTTCAAATACAGAATTTGTAATGTACTCTCTACTTAGTGTCATCAATAGCTTGTATTTTGCATTATTTGCTCCCGTGCATGCTCTCTCGCTCTCTCTCTCTCTGCTTCTCTCATTTCCTTTGGATATTCAGCGGTCCCATGCCGTCCATGACAGACTGGGTCCAGGAGCCCCCACTGAGAATACCAAAATTTTCATTTTCTAAAGTCTTTATATAAAATGGCATAGTATTTTCATAAAACCTAAGTACGTTGTCCCATAGAATTTAAATCATCTCTAGATTACTTACACAACCTAATGCATATAAAAGTTATATAAATAGTTGTTGCACTGTATTGTTTAAGGAATGAGGACAAGAAAAAAAAGTGTTGACCCAACCATTGTACACATGTACACATGTCAGCATCAATGTAACATTTTTTCAAAGTTTTCAAATATCCAGTTGGTCGCACCCTCATTGTGGACCTTGAGGATACAGGGTCTGACCCAAGTGAGCTGGAGGTACTGTGGTCCTTTAAATATTACTAATGATTTCTGCGTGTATTTTTCTAAAAACAAGATATTATACTGTATAAACAGAATACAATCATCCAAGTCTGAGAATATAACATGAGTTCAATATTATTATCTAATCCATAGTATGTATTGAAATTATAACAGTTGTCCTAATAATATGTTATAACTTTTTTATTTAAATGGCCCAGGATCCAATCCAGCACCATGCATTGCATTGAATTACTATATCTGTTTAGTTTATTTTTATCAGGAACTCAGCTTTTTCTTTTTCTCTTTTCTTTCCTTTTTTTTGTTGTTGTTGCTCCTTTGTTTATATTTCTGGACCTTAATTTTTTTTTAAGTATAAAAATTTGTTGTTTTGTAAAATATCCCTCAGCATGAGTTTGTCTGGTGCCTCTTCATAACTGGTAGGTTTGGGTCACACACTTTGGACAGGAATATCACTGAAGTGATATCATGTCCTCCTCCTCAGTCCATGATATCTTGTGACATATGATGTCAGGTTCTTTCCACTATTTTATTTAGTCTGTCCACTCCTCCTTCTTCATTAAGAGAAAACTGGGCATCTGGAAAGCACAGGGCAGGCAATCCAGGTGGGAAAGCAAACACCCTGACCCTGGTCATCAGAATTCAACTAACGATAGGAAGGAAGCTTATTAATCCCTCTGCACATCTTCCCTATTCCCATCGTGGGGTGGGAGCGACCCTGGTGAAAAAGGCCAGCAGCCACCTGCTTTATGTACCCTGCCCTCCTCTGCCTGCCCAGAAAGAGGCAAGAAGGAGCACTGGGCAACCCATAGCTGAGTCCAGTAACTCTGCCAACTCTGTGTGAATGTCCCAGGCCAGACAGCCTGGACCCTGAGACTCTCACCCCAGCCGGGCACATGGGGCGTCACATTCACCAGCCAGCCTGTCTGTGGAGTTATCACTCTGAACCCCAACTCCTAGCCTCATCCCCCAGCACCCCCCAACACAAAAATGCTAGCTTCAGTCAATGGTTAAAGAATATCTGTCAGTTCTTTTCAGTATAGTTATTATTTTGCCCTTTGTAATTAATAAGTAATTTATTATGGAGATACTTTGAGACTATATAAATACCCTGTTTCTCATCTGATCTAAAACTCATTACTTATAAATTCCATTGATAATTTTCTGATTCCATTTTTCATGTTACTGGTTGGTATTACTACTACAAGAGCTTCCATTTCTCTTTCAATAT